TTAGGCGACCACATCTTAGCATGCTCAAGGGTAATGCTAAGGGCCCTTAGGGGCCTTTGTTACCTTCCATGGTGACCCCTATTTCTGGGGACAATATGTATCAGCATTCTCAAAGCTGGGGGGCCATTTACTGGTTGATGAGGGAAATGGTAAGGGTCCTCAGGGGCCACGCCTGTCCCATTGTTACCTCTGGTGACCCTTATTTCTAGGGACAAGGTGACAATGGGAAGCCAGGGGCTCTTCGGATGTTAGGTGACCATGTTTCAGCATGCTCAAGGGTAATGGAAAGGGCCCTCAGTGTCCACAGCCACCCCGTTGTTACTCCCCATGGTGACCCTTATTTCGAGGGACAATTCAACCAGATATTAGGGGTCAATATGCTTCAGCGTGCCAGACACTGAGGGGTCATTTACTGGTTGACGAGGGAAATGCTAAGGGCCCTTAGGGGCCACAGCTGTCCCATTGTTTCCTCTGTTGACCCTTATTTCTAGGGACAAGGTGACAATGGGGAACCAGGGGCTCTTCAGATGTTAGAAGATCATGTTTCAGCATGCTCAAAGGTAATGGTAAGGGCTCTTAGGGGCCACAGCCACCCCACTGTTACCCCTGATGGTGACCCTTATTTCCAGGGACAATGCAACCAGATATTAGGGGACAAGAGGCTTCAGCATGCCAGATGCTGAGGGTTCATTTACTGGGCAATGAGGGAAATGGTAAGGGTCCTCAGGGGCCACAGCTCCCCTATTATTCTCTATGGTGATCAGTTGTCCATGGCTACCCTGTCCCTAGAAATAAGGGTCATCTGATCACCGTAGAGAATAATTGGACAGCTGTGGCCCCTTACCATTTCCCGTCACCCAAGAAATGGCCCTTAGGACACAACATGCTTTGGCATGCTAGAGGCTTAACAACTGAGTAGCCCCTGGTTGCCTTGTCCCTACAAATAAAGGTCATCTGATCACCATGGGTAACAGTAGGACAGCTGTGGCCCCTGAGGGCCCTTGTTAATTCCCTACTTACCCATAAAATGGCCCTTCAGCCCCAGCATGCTGAACCATTGTCTCCTAAGAGCTGGAGGTATTTTTTATTGTAAAACTACTACTTTCAGTTAGCACATGTCATTCATTAAATTTACAAATTATGTCATTATTATTGATTATATACAAAAATAATTCAAATGTGCTTTTCAGAACTTTTTCTTTAACAAATACCCTCAACGTACTTTGGGCGTTTTTACAGCCCTTTTATTACTAAACAAATTACTACTTGTAATGGGATAAAATAGAGACTATACACAGTCTTACCGCATAGACGGGCGTTTTTACAGCCCCTTAACTGGACAAGGCTGCTGTATATTTCCAAATGCTTACTTCTTGACAAATTACTCATCTACCCATCTACCTAGGCCAAGGCAGAGCATGTAAGCCATTAGATATTTGCAGCCCCATTTCAAAAATAGAGAGTGCAAAATCTAGGGGAGTGGGAGAATGGATGGCCTAGCAGAGCAAGCAGAATACAGAAAGCAAAGAAGAGCAAATCAAGCAAGCCCCAAAAGGGGCAGCGTTGGTACCTTTAAGGAGGCTGGAAGTGAAAACCCCTCCATAAATGGGCACTCCTTTCCAAGTGAAGCACCTTATGCAGCTCACTAAGTGTGTCTCTCACCACCTCCTGGACAGGCAGGATTTTGTCCCTAGTGGACGAAAGACAGCGGGCGTGCCAAGTGAAGAAAAGCGTAACTATACTTACTAGATAAAGTGTAGGCAACTCAAACCCCTCCCTCACTCTGAAGTTGCCGTACACCCGCTCGGGAAGAGACAGAGAGGAGAAGCGGGGATAGCCAATGGCATCCCCTACTCCCCTGTGAACCTCCGCATTGAGAGGGCACTGGACCATAAAATGGTCCATGGTCTCCAGTGCCCCCCCACATTCTGGTCGAGGACAGCCTCTGTCCTCTAGGTTTCTATATTTCAGGTTCGCACGGATGTAAAGTCTTCCATGGAAAGACCTCCATGCGAGATCCCAAAATTTCTGTGGAATTCTTTTAGAATTCAGGAGGGCTAGCCCCTCCCTGAGGACGCTGTCTGGGCAGTCTTTCAAGGCCAGCGGCTTTAAAATGTCCGAAGCCATGATCCTCTGGTATAGCTCTCGCCGACCAGTGGACCCTACCTCCAGGGCAGTTATGCGCCACCGCCTCAGTACCTTTGAAGCCTGTGGGACGTAGGATGGGAGGCAGAGATGTGCTCTTCTCAGATCACCAGGCCTGCCTCCCCCTTCCCATTCATCCAAGAACAGCAGTAGCCAGTCCTTGCAAGAACGTTCCCACAGAGAGGGCTCGTCCTTAAAGATGGACTGCAAGTTGTTTTTGATGAAAATGGTAGTGTAAAACACTACTGGGTGGACCATGTCCAACCCGCCTAGCTCTCTCCGTAGGTACGTGACCTCCCTCTTGATCAGATTAAGTCTGTTTCCCCACAGTAGCAGGAAGAACAGACTACAGATCCGTGCATAGAGGGGTGCTGGCAAAAGACAAACGTAGCTGACAAATAAAAATTCAGGCAGCAGGTAGGTTTTGACGAGGCTCACCCTTTCCCTTAAGGACAGCTTCCAGCCTTTCCAGGCTGACACTTTCCGGGTGGCATCCTCCAGTCTGCGCTCCCAATTTCGTGCGGGGTAATCCCCAGGGCCGAAAAGGATGCCAAGGATCTTAACCCCAAGATGCTCATGGCTGCCTTGTCCCTAGAAATAGGAGTCATATGATACCCATAGGTTACAGCCCCTGAGGGCTCTTACCCCTTCCTTGTCACTCAGAAAATGGCCCCTTACCCAAACATGTTGTCACCTAAGAGCTGGAGAGCCCCAAGATGCTCATGGCTAGCTTTTTCCTAGAAATAGGGGTCACCATGAGTAACAACAGGACAGCGTTGGCCCCTGAGGGCCCCTACCATTTCCCTCATCATCCAGTTAATGGTCATCAAGCCTCCAGCATGTTGAAACATTGTCCCTCAACAGCTGGATAGCTTCTAGTTGCCAACGGTTACTCTGCCCCCCAAAAAAAAAAGAAAAAAAAAGGGTCAACTAGAAACTGGAGGCTGTTGAGGGGCCATTTACTGGATGACGAGGGAAATGGTAAGGGCCCTCAGGGTCCACAGCTGTCCAATTGTTAATTATGATCACCCTTCTAGGGACAAGGCAACCATGAGCATATTTGGGCTCTCCAGCTCTTAGGTGACATTTTTTCAGCATGGTCGAGGCTGAAGAGCCATTTTCTGGGTAAATGGGGCAATAATGAGGACCCTCACAGGGGCCACTGTTGTTCTCTATGGTGATCAGATGACCCTTATTTCTAGTAACAAGGCAGACAAAGGACAACTTGGGGCTCCTCTGGGGTCCACAGATGTCCTATACTCTACAGTGATCAGATGGCCCCTTTTCTTTTCTAGGGACAAGGTAGCCATGGGCAGCTAGAAGCTCTCCAGCTCTTGGGGACAATGCTTCAACATGCTGGAGGTTGAAGGGCCATTTTCTGGGTAAATGGGGAAATAATGAGGGCCCTCAGGGGCCACTGTTGTTCTCTGTGGTGATCAGATGACCCTTATTTCTAGTAACAAGGCAGACAAAGGACAACTTGGGGCTCCTCTGTTGTTAGGAGACAACATGTTTCAGCAAGCTGGAGTCTCATGAGCCATTTTTTGAGTGACGGGAAATGGTAAGGGGCCCTCAGGGGGCCACAGCTGTCCTATTCTCTACAGTGATCAGATGGCCCCTTTTCATTTCTAGGGACAGGGTAGCCATGGGCACCTAGAAGCTCTCCAGCTCTTGGGGACAATGCTTCAACATGCTGGAGGTTGAAGGGCCATTTTCTGGGTAAGTGGGATAATAATGAGGGCCCTCAGGGGCCACAGCTGTCCTATTGTTAGCTTTGGTGATCAGATGACCCTTATTTTTGGGGAAAAAGGCAGCCATTAGGAGACAACATGTTTCAGCATTCTGGAGGCTGAGGGGCTATTTTTTGAGTTACAGGACCTCCAGCATGATCTGCTCCCAATCATGTGACAGCAAGGCACAGGGGTCACATGATCACCAAACCTTTCCACCCCCCACTCCCCCAGGCATTCAGAACTTTTTAAAGGTGAGTGGGGAGGGGTTGAAAACCTTGGTCAGGGTATATTGGCATCTGTGTCCCCCAGCTGGGGAGATTCACTCTCTCACGTTGTCCTCATGACCAGTGTCACCAGAACAGGAATAGGGAGAAAATCTTCCATTGGGGACACTTGTTCAGGTGACTACTAAGAGGGCATTTTCCCGATCTTTGTACAGATTTGCTGTTACTTCCTGAGGCAGCAGACAGAAAGGACACTTGGTGATCTTAACTGAGACAAGTACACTTAGCCTCCTACATAAGTTGTACCTGTGTGTCTGCGGTACTCTCTACAGCCATTCAAAGTCCAGAATTTATAGAGCTTGCTTGAGCTTTCAGAGAGCTGGGGGCAGGGAGCTGGAGTTACACTCAGTGGCAAGAGCTGATTGGAGGGAAGGGACACCCTCCCCTTTACACAGGTCACAGGAACAGAGCTGCATGTTGGAGCTCCTTCCCCTGTCACCATTTTTTTCTTGGTGTCAGGAAAACTTGCCAGAAGTGACTCATGCAGATAGCAGAGGAAGGAGGCAGCCGACAGACAGGACACTTAGTGCTCTGGATTGAGACAAGTACACACTATAGAGGGATATGCTTTGTTCATTTTGTATGTCTGAGGTTTTCAATCACTTCAAGCCAGTATGCAGTTAATATGGTCGAACAGATTAGGCAGTATTTGTGAGCCGTCCAAATCCCCGCCGAGATCGGCGATCACTAAAACAGCATCTGTTCGGCACAGAGAAGGAAGAATTCCCCGTCAGGTGATCCGCCTGTGTGGCCGCTGTTTATTGTGAGGACAGCAGAGCTGATTAAATGTCTCTCTTCCAGGGATCTGCCTGAGGGGTATGTGAGAACGGCCGATACAATGACCACCGTGCGTCAGAGGAAGAGGATGAACGCCTCCGAGCCGAGTCCCCACAACTCACAGGGGCAGAAAGGTTCAAGAGAGAGAGCAAGAGGGATTTCCGGTGGGTGAAGCCATGTTTGTTTATTACTTTTCCACTACCAGTAGAAAACCTGCCATGCTTCTAAGCCGCCAGTGCTAGACTGACTATATCATCAAAACACACGTGCAGCTCTTACCCCACACAAGCGCTTGATTTTAACTCGTTCCCACCCAGACCTTGAGTCCCTTTAACCACCTCCCGTCTGGCTGTTGTGTATAAACGGACAGACGGTGGCAGTGCGGGGGCGGGTGGATGTTTATAAACGGCCTCCACGCCCCCTGCTTGTGCGCGCTCCCTGGAGGCATGCAGCACCGCGATACGGTGCCTGCTGTGTCCTCCGGACACAGTGGAACACCAATCGTCAGACGGGACCCCTGTGCGAGGTCCCGATCATGTGATCACTGATTGGCCAATCAGTGATCACATACAAATTAGTAAGCAACATGTCACTTCTGACATCATTGCTTACTACGTGTGAAATCTGTGAATGATCACAGAGGTCACATGGTACAGGGCTATTCACAACAGCCTTGTACCATGTGACAAGCTGTGACCAACCACAGCTCACACAGTAGTTCTCAATGGCTAGAAGAATGCAGCCGGAGAGGAGAAATGATTGCTTTTCCAGCCTTTATGGGTGTAAAAGCAATTGGTGTATTAAACAAAAAAAAAAATCTTCATCACCCCCCCCCACAAGTAGTACAGTATGTAAAAAAAAAACCCAAAAACATATAAAAAATTTAAATAAAAATGTAAAAACTTTTTTTTAAAATTTAGAATATTTGCTAATAAACTAATTTGGGTTATTTTATTTTTTTTACTAAAAAGATAACGGAATACATTTTGGCCAAGATTTCTGATGTAATATTATTTATTTGCATACTTTTATAAGAAAAACCTGAGAGCCGCAGGACTACAAGTCCCATCATACCTCTGCAAGTCAGAGCTGTAACTGTCAGTTTTGTAATCTTTGCAATGCCTCATGGGAAATGTAGTTCCACAACAGCTAGAGAGCCGCAGGTTGCCTACCCCTGGCCTAGGCAAATGACGCACAAGGGGAGGGGGCTACATTTTATTACAAAAAAAAAAATAGGAAAAGAAAAAAAGTGCTATCTGTGGAGAGGACTGGAGTAGAGGTGGAGAGGAGGGATCATGTCTTCAAGGGGAAGATCCCCTTTAATGGCTTTGTAATTTATTTTTCATTAAATTTTTTTACTGGTTTTTTTTTTCTGGTTTTTGCATCCTTGCAAAGTCTTCTGTGAACTTCTGAACCTCTTCTTTTCCCTCTCATGTCCGGTTGTTTGGAATAAGCAATGTACATTAGCTGTGATCATGTGCACTGCTCTATGCACACTACACATCCTATAATCCTTCGTGGGAGAGATCAGGACAGGGTGGCTACCTATATACAGCGGGAACAAGACGGTGGCTACATTCCTGTATACAGCGAGCAAGACATTCCTACATACTGCACTCCTACATACAGTGGGACCAGGACAGGGTGGTTATGTTCCTACATACAGTGGGACCAAGACAGGGTGGCTACATTCCTACATACAGTGGGACCAAGACAGGGTGGCTACATTCCTACATACAGTGGGACCAAGACAGGGTGGCTACATTCCTACATACAGTGGGACCAAGACAGGGTGGCTACATTCCTACATACAGTGGGACCAAGACAAGGTGGCTACATTCCTACATACAGTGGGACCAAGACAGGGTGGCTACATTACATACAGTGGGACCAAAGACAGGGTGGTTATGTTCCTACATACAGTGGGACCAAGACAGGGTGGCTATTACATACAGTTTCCTACATACAGTGGGACCAAGACAAGGTGGCTACATTCCTACATACAGTGGGACCAAGACAGGGTGGCTACATTCCTACATACAGTGGGACCAAGACAGGTGGCTACATTCCTACATACAGTGGGACCAAGACAAGGTGGCTACATTCCTACATACAGTGGGACCAAGACAGGGTGGCTACATTCCTACATACAGTGGGACCAAGACAGGGTGGCTACATTCCTACATACAGTGGGACCAAGACAGGGTGGCTACATTCCTACATACAGTGGGACCAAGACAGGGTGGCTACATTCCTACATACAAGTTGGGACCAAGACAGGTGGCTACATTACTACATACAGTGGGACCAAGACAGGGTGGTTATGTTCCTACATACAGTGTGGGACCAAGACAGGGTGGCTATTTCCTACATACAGTGGGACCAAGACAGGGTGGCTACATTACTATATACAGTGGGACCAAGACAGCTACATTCTTATATACAATGGGACCAAAGACAAGGAGGCTACGTTCCTACATACAATGGGACCAAGACTGGGTGGCTACATTACTATATACAGTGGGACCATGGAGAACGAATAAAGCCACCCTCTAACAGAAAGTGGAGTCACAGCAGCAAAAAAAGCCATTCAAAGCCCACAGCTACATCACCAACCCCATATCTCAAATACTAATCAGACTGTCTTATTTGCTCCTCCCCAGACCTCCTACTCTCTAGCTTCCATGTCATCTCCTCCCATACTTGCCTCCAGGACTTCTCCAGAGTCTCCCCAGTCCTCTAAAACTCCCTAACCCCCAATCTTCTACTATGTCTATCTTTAGGTGAGGCCTGGAAAACCCACCTCTTCAGGCAAGCTGATCTCACCTCTACCCAACAACTGAATTTTAGTTTCTCAAATAACTTATCCCCTCACAGTTACTACATACATTTTGTTGTCACTTGTCTGCTACTTGCCCCTAACCTTAGATCCCTGGTGCCCAATACGCAGCCCACCAGCACTCAATGTGCGTCTTGAGCTGTGCTGACTGCCTGAAGCGCTGGCAAAGCCAACATGTTGGGCATCAGAAAGGGAAGGAAAAGCAAACCCACAGCGCCTGTGGTTTGTTTTCTGTTTCAGGAGGTCAGGCCGCTTCTCCTGCTGCTTTACTGTTTCCTCTTTCATGCTGCAAAGTGGCTAAGCAGCGTGTGAAGCCAGCCAGGGAAGCCGCTACCTGTGCTAGTGCAGTGATGTCTCTGATCACTATATAAAATCCTATTCCAAAAGACACCACCCTTAACCTCCCTAAGCGGGTCTGATGATGTCCGTATTTCTGTGCTCAAAGCGGTACATTTTTTTGCATGGAAATATGTTGTTTTTTTATTGCAGGTCTGTAATTTTTTAGGAATAACTCACTGAAATCTGTCTGAACAAGAGTCTAGTAAACATCCCGGGGAGGATAAAATTTGAAACCCACTCAATCATAAATTATAATTTAATAAATAATCATAAAAAATAATAATATAATAATAATACATTTAATTCAATAATATAATCAAACCGAAAACACTGAAATGTGAAATAGAGCGCCAAGTTCGCACATCGCTGAGCTCAGTCGCAGAATCGTTTTCAGTGTCTGATGAGGAATTTCCCCCACGAATCATTATCACTCAATTCTGCAAGTGGTTCTGATTTACTATCGCTGTTCTCTAGCCGGTCTAAAAACCGCGTCTGACCTAAAGGGACGCTTTTTGGACGCCATGGACGTTTCTCAGTTTCCAGGCAGAAAGAACAGTAAAAATGCAGGCAGGCGCCGGACAAAGCACTCGGGACACAATGTATGTGAAATGCTTTGATACAGGAATGTTATACTATGTGATTTTAGTGATTTTAGTGAATGTCACTTTTACAATTTTCAAATTTCTCACCAGTTCCGTCCCCCGTACGTCCCGACGTCGCAGGGAACGGAACCCGGAAGACAGATGCCGCATCGGCTGGAGGACATTGCTGGGGACACTGCAGGGGGGACATCGCGGGAGCGCAGGACAAGGTAAGAGAAGAAGAGATCCCGGAGCAACGCTGCAGTGTATTCCCGAGTGTAGTTTGGGGGGGTTACCGCTTGTGGTGCTGAAACTTTACCCCGAGCTACACTGGGGAATACCGCCAGGGGGGTTAAAGTAAAAATGTCCCCATAATTGTATCACCCCCTCACCTCTCTGTATACTTACTTGAGTCCTATCTTCATTCAGCGCTGTGCTCGTCTGCAGCAGCTCTCTCCTCACAGAGAACAGAGAGGCAGCGGTGGGAGCCATTGACTACTGCTGTCAATCGAATCCGTTGAGCATAGAGTGGCTGGAGGGGCCAAGCCGCATTGTGAATGATGCACACAGCCTGGCTCATGATTGTGGCCGCAGGAGTGCCCCCATAGCAAGCAGAAAGAAGAAAAGGAGCCAAGAGCGCCAGCAGGGGACCCAAGAAGAGGAGGATCAGGGATGCTCTGTGTAATACTATTGCACAGAGCAGGTAAGTATAACATTTATATTTTATGGTGTTGTGTGGGCACTGAAAACAACACAGACACTGAAAACGATTCTGCGACTTGGTGCAATATTTTAAATTTCAGTGTTTTTGGTTTGATTATATTATTGAATTAAATTTATTATTATTATAATATTATTTTTTATGATTATTTATTCAATTATCATTTATGATTTCCTGTTTCAAATTTTATCATCCCCGGGATGTTTACTAGACTCTTGTTTGGACAGATTTCAGTGAGTTGTTCCTAAAATATAATTTGTTTATTTTTTATTTTTTGTCACATATAATTGTAAGTTACATATTATTTATGTCACTTAATATTTGTGTAAATAAGTTTTCACATAGAGATCAGTAAAAGGAATTAGTGTGACACATATATCTAATGCGCCGCTAATTATCACTAATATTAGGAGTGGTATTTTTTGGAATAGGTAAGTATAACATGTTTATTATTTTACAAAAAAAACTTTTACAAACACTTAATTATATTTTTTTTCATACTCTTGAAATCCTTGTGGTGGCTACAAAAAGATTGAGAAAAAAAAAAAAAGATTTTCAACTAAGCAGAAGATTCAAAAAAAGTACATAAATGAGACAAATTCCCCTTACCTGGTTTTGGCTTCTAGCAAACTAGATGAGATGACTTTTCAGAATAATGTAACGAGTCATTTATGTTACATAGTTAGTCTGGCTGAAAAAAGACAAACGTCCATCCTGTTCAACCAATAGAAACAAAAGTTATAATCCTACACCCACAGTTGATCCAGAGGAAGGCAAAAAAAAAAAAAATAGAAAAAAAAAAAAAAAGCAAAGCACGATCCAATTTGTTTCTGCAGGGAAAAAATTCCTTCCTGATCCCCCGAGAGGCAATCGGATATTCCCTGGATCAACATTCCCTATAAATGTTATATCCAGTTACCGTATTTTTCGCTCCATAAGACGCACCTGACCATAAGACGCACCTAGGTTTTAGAGGTGAAAAACAAGAAAAAAAAAAATATTCTGAACCAATGGACTGCAGACACAGTACAGGGGATGACCAGAGACTGCGGACACAGTACAGGAGATGACCAGAGACTGCGGACACAGTACAGGAGATGACCAGAGACTGCGGACACAGTACAGGAGATGACCAGAGACTGCGGACACAGTACAGGAGATGACCAGAGACTGCGGACACAGTACAGGGGATGACCAGAGACTGCGGACACAGTGCAGGAGACGACCAGAGACTGCGGACACAGTGCAGGAGACGACCAGAGACTGCGGACACAGTGCAGGAGACGACCAGAGACTGCGGACAGTGCAGGGAATGACCAGAGACTGTGGACAGTGCAGGGAATGACCAGAGACTGCGGACACAGTGCAGGAGACGACCAGAGACTGCGGACACAGTGCAGGAGACGACCAGAGATTGCAGACAGTGCAGGGAATGACCAGAGACTGTGGACAGTGCAGGGAATGACCAGAGACTGCGGACAGTGAAGGAGATGACCAGAGACTGCTGACCTTTGGGGAGAGAGGGGGAGCGGGTACCTGAATTTGACAGGTACCCGCTCCCACTTCCGCGGAGTTGCCTTCCCTCTTCCTCCCGGGCCGGCTTCTGTGCCAGCCGGGTGCCCACTGCGCAGGTGCGAGAAGCGCTTCGCTTTGTGAATGGCCCGGCGCCTTCTGGGACCTTTCATGTGTCCCAGAAGACACCGGATCATTCACAAAGCGCAGCACATGCGCAGTGGTCACCCGGCTGTCACAGAAGCCAGTGCGGGAAGACTGTGCAGCGCTGGAGCGAGGAACAGGTAAGGTCCTGCAGGAGACAACAGCTGAGCGGCCGGCCCGGTATTCTGACATGGTGGCCGCAAAAAATACCGGACCGGCCGCTTTATATTCGCTCTATAAGACGCACTGACATTTTCCCCCCTTTTTGGGGGGGAAAAAAGTGCGTCTTATGGTGCGAAAAATACGGTATATTCTGTGTATCCAAGAAAGAATCCAGGACTTTCCTACAGCAATCCACTGAGCTGGCCACAACCAACTCTTGAGGGAGTCTATTCCACATTTTCACAGCTCTTACTGCGAAGAAACCTTTCCGCGTTTTTGGAGATTACATTTCTTTTCCTCCAGAAGTAAAGAGCGCCCCCTTGTCCTCTGTGATGACCTTGTGATGTTGTTGCTATTGATGGAAGTGATCACTTCTCCTTCTTGTTTTCAGCAGGTGCCACATGGAATATACTCTGTTACTTCGTTGGCGGGATGCTGGCTTTTTTCCTGGGACTGCTTGCTGCATATTATGTTGCCACCCTCCATGAGAATGACTTGTGGTTCTCCAATATTAAGGTACATTTACACTTGTGTAGAAAGGATTGGTCGAGCACTGTCATGTGGGACGTACCCAGACAATAGATGCAGAACTCCTGTGTAGGTCGGGGACTATTTATTCCTGCTAAGAACCAATTAAAGAAGAACTAAACCTTTAAATGGAACTATTAGTCCTCACGCACACGGGACGTTTTTACAGCGGCTGTTTTTGGCTTTTGACTTTTTTTTTCTACAGCCAGTAAACCCCCCAGCATGTTAATGTGTCCATACACAGATAGATTGTAATCAACGTTTTTTTTTATCAGGGACGTTTTTTGGTTGGGAAAAAACCCAGAACTAGAGGGTTTCTTTTTTAGTTGTAAAAACGCTCTAACGCTGAAAAACACTGCAATTTTTTTTTTTTTTAAACTGCTAAAAACCGCAAACGCGGGAAAACGCCGCTAAACACTAATGCAAAAATGCTAAAAAAGCTGAAAAGCTCCCGTTTTTAACGTGACTTTACACAGCTTACGCTACCAGCGTTATCAAAACGTCCCGTGTGCGTGAGGACTTGTTGTCACCAGGGCTGCATCAACACCCGTACCGGTGTTAGTATTGTTCTGGATCTTCTTTCTCCCCCCTCTTTTTTTTTTATTTTTTAATTTTTTTTTGTAGGTGCGAAAAATAACAAAAAACTGTAAGTGAACACAAAAAGTGCACTTAGGGGTGTGGTTTTAGTCCCCCCCTCTGACGGGATAGGACCTCTATCCTGGTACAAGGCTCCTCATAGGGACTGAGGTTTCCACATGGTCCACCTAGTCAAAAGACCTGACAGACCCCTTTCCTTGTGGCTACCTGAAGCTGACCACCAAGTACTAGGCCTCCGGGGGAAAGGGAGGAGGAAGGGAGAGAGCAAATATGCAAATTAGATACAATGCTCTCTCTGAGTTAAAATAGTATGGTCCAAAATCATCATTATTGATGGAAGCGGGTATGGTGGGAGGGGTGATCCACTATGATCAATGTGTGTCCAACCCAACAAACTGAGCGGGCATCTTGGAAAAAGTAGGGGTTTTCTGGGTGGGAAATGTGTATGACAAATTTGCATATTTGAGGGCTGAGCCAAGGACAGTATGCAAATTAGTATGCAAAAACACTCTCCCTAAGGTGCAATTGGATCAGAACACTCTTATGTGCAACAACAAGGAACGGCGTATGCAAATTAGTATGCCCATAGTCCTTTGCAATTGGATCAGAACACTCTCCATAATGTGTAACAACAACAAAAAGAATATTCTTTTCTCCCTCATTATACTCACTTTCATTTATGTGTGTGTGTGTTTTTTTTTTTTCTCACGGATGGTAGGATGTGGGTCCTCAGGTCTGCCCTGAAGTCTAGGAGGAGGATGTGTGACCTTTTGGTTCCTTCCTCCCCTGTTCCTGTCTTTGGGGGAGCCCCCTGAGTCAAAGCAAGAGTTTTTCAATCAACAGAGTTCATGTTCCCTGCTGATTTGGAGAGCTCTGACTTGGACCTCTGAAGAGAGACCACTGCTTGTACACTGAGAGCAAGGAGCCTTCTCAGCAGCGCTGTAAATAAATGGGTTTGCAACTATATGCGATGTTCCTGCAAGCACAATGTAATACAGCAGATGCTTCACTGGAAGTCCAGTCTACTACTAACTACGTTTATTCCCCCCCGTTCTAAGCCTATTCTATCTGTTTGATCCTCACTTCTCTGATCTTCCCCTTCTTCCAGTGTCGCCCTCTTATCTCCTGATAAGACATATTGTGTGGAGATACTCTGCACATGCTCAGTGTGTATTGCTTTTTTTTTTGGGAGACTGCATGTGATTAGCACTGTCCAGACAGAGGTCAGAGGTTTGCATCCTCCTACAGCAGAAAGAAAATTCTTACAAGCTTTAACTAATGCTCTGCTGGACACTGATAGAAGTCACAAAACTGCTATATACTGCTGATGAGCAAAGGTACTTAGATATAGTATATGCAGGGTCCGGGGAGAGCGGATATAGTGAATGCGGGGTCCGGGGAGAGCGGATATAGTGAATGCGGGGTCCGGGGAGAGCGGATATAGTGAATGCGGGGTCCGGGGAGAGCGGATATAGTGAATGCGCGGGGAGAGCGGATATAGTGAATGCGGGGTCCGGGGAGAGCGGATATAGTGAATGCAGAGTCCGGGGAAAGCGGATATAGTGAATGCGGGGTCCGGGAGAGAGCGGATATAGTGAATGCCGGGTCCGGGGAGAGCGGATATAGTGAATGCGGGTCCGGGGAGAGCGGATATAGTGAATGCAGGGTCCGGGGAGACTGCGATATAGTGAATGCGGGGTCCGGGGAGAGCGGATATAGTGAATGCAGGGTCCGGGGAGAGCGGATATAGTGAATGCGGGGTCCGGGGAGAGCGGATATAGTGAATGCGGGGTCCGGGGAGAGCGGATATAGTGAATGCGGGGTCCGGGGAGAGCGGATATAGTGAATGCGGGGTCCGGGGAGAGCGGATATAGTGAATGCGGGGTCCGGGGAGAGCGGATATAGTGAATGCGGGGTCCGGGGAGAGCGGATATAGTGAATGCGGGGTCCGGGGAGAGCGGATATAGTGAATGCGGGGTCCGGGGAGAGCGGATATAGTGAATGCGGGGTCCGGGGGGAGCAGATATAGTGAATGCAGGGTCCGGGGAGAGCGGATATAGTGAATGCGGGGTCCGGGGAGACCAGATATAGTGAATGCAGGGTCTGGGGAGAGCGGATATAGTGAATGCGGGGTCCTGGGAGAGCGGATATAGTGAATGCGGGGTCCAGGGAGAGCGGATATAGTGAATGCAGGGTCCGGGGAGAGCAGATATAGTGAATGCGGGGTCCGGGGAGAGCGGATATAGTGAATGTGGGATCCGGGGAGAGCGGATATAGTGAATGCGGGGTCGGGGGGGAGCAGATATAGTGAATGCAGGGTCCGGGGGGAGCAGATATAGTGAATGCGGGGTCCGCTTGGTGTTTGGCAGCTCAATATAAAGTCACATTTTAGGGCATTCCTGTGGCTGAAATTGAAAATGATTTTATGACTTTTAAAGAAATTGCCTAAGTGGATTAAAGTGGGTTTTCTATATCCTTGCAGAGTTCTTCTTTAAGATCTATAGCGCACCCATCTGTTAATAGAAATGGGAATTGCCATTTGTGCTGATGAAGCACCTGACTCACTCTCCACCTGTCCTCATACATTTTCTCCACACATCATTTTAAGGACAGCTTTCCCAGCACTCGGCTGAATGTGCCCTGGAGCCATATCATGCTGTGCTTTATTAATAACCTGGTACCTCTTCCAGGTGAATTCTTTTCTTTCATTGATTTTAGGTGTAATGAAGGCTTTATAAATTTCCAATTAAAACTGTTTAATCTGCGTTTACCTCCCTCCTCCGTATTACCACGCTTTTACCTCCCTCCTCCTTATTACCATGCTAATGATATATTTAAATGAATCCTTTCCGTTTTCATTCCATAACTTCACTGGGTCTCTGTGCTTCTCTACCACCTTGAAGACCAGGCCTTTTCTGGCACTTTTTTTTACAAGAAAAAAACTACCAAACATTATATGTTTTTTTTTTGTGGAGACCCTAGAGAATCGTTGCAATTGTTTATTTGCACAGTGGTTTTTCAAATGCAACACTTTAATGAATAAAAATCAAAACACAATATATAACCCAATTCTTTTGTAAAATATGAAAGACGATGTGACGCCAAGTAAGTAGATACCTAACATGTCGTGCTTTTTAAATTGCGTACTCTCGTGGAATGGCGACTAACTGCAATACTCAGAGGTGTAGCTAGGGGGCAGGGGGGTACATATGTACCTGGGCGCTAAGGTACAGGGGCGCCAAAATGAGGCTTACAACCAGGGGCATATTTGCCGCAAGGAAAACAAGGCATTTGCCTAGGGCGGCACTTTATGGGGGGGGGGGTGGCGCAGTGCTGATATATCCCCCTCCTTACAGAAGGAAGGGACACTTAGTACAGTAGCGGGCTGCTGTGTCTTACCTGGCTCCGTGTTCCAGTCCCACGACGATCCAGTCCAGGAGTCGCTGCTGGAGGAGGGGTAGAGAAGTCTGCAGGTCCAGTGTCTTCTTTTCCCTGGACGCAATGTGTGGGCGGGATGACATGCCACCCCTGTCATCTGGCCACACCCTCGGGATCACTGGACAGCCTATGGCAGCTTGTACCTCCCTCTGCAAGCTCTGCCTCCACCACTGATTGGGCGCCAGAACTGTAGTTCAGGAAAGGCACACAGGCGGTCAATCACCTGAGAGGAGGCGGAGCTTGTAGAGGAGGAGCCAAGCGGCAGAAGATTGAGTGAGGGAGCTGCCGGAGCAAGTGAAGAAGACAGTTGACCGGTAAGTGTGCCGTGCAGATGGTGCTGCTGCAACCAGGTATGCTGGCTGTGAATGGGAGAGGGAAGGAGCCTAGGCTGGAGCAGGGGTCAGCAAGGTAAGTGTCATTGGTGTCAGTGGGAGGAATAGTGCCCCATCATTGGTATCAGTGGGAGGAATAATAATGTCCCATCATTGGTATCAGTGGGAGGAATAGTGCCCCATCATTGGTGTCAGTGGGAGGAATAGTGCCCCATCATTGGTGTCAGTGGGAGGAATAGTGCCCCATCATTGGTGTCAGTGGGAGGAATAGTGCCCCATCATTGGTGTCAGTGAGAGGAATAGTGCTCCATCATTGGTATCAGTGGGAGGAATAGTGCCCCATCATTGGTGTCAGTGGGCGGGAATAGTGCCCCATCATTGGTGTCAGTGGGAGGAATAGTGCCCCATCATTGGTGTCAGTGGGAGGAATAGTGCCCCATCATTGGCATCAGTGGGAGGAATAGTGCCCCATCATTGGTGTCAGTGGGAGGAATAGTGCCTCATCATTGGTATCAGTAGGAGGAATAGTGCCCCATCATTGGTATCAGTGGGAGGAATAGCGCCCCATCATTGGTGTCAGTGGGAGGAATAGTGCCCCATCATTGGTATCAGTGGGAGGAATAGTGCTCCATCATTGGTGTCAGTGGGGGAAATAGTGCCCCATCATTGGTATCAGTGGGAGGAATAGTGCCCCATCATTGGTATCAGTGGGAGGAATAGTGCCCCATCATTGGTATCAGTGGGAGGAATAGTGCCCCATCATTGGTGTCAGTGGGAGGAATAGTGCCCCATCATTGGTATCAGTGGGAGGAATAGTGCCCCATCATTGGTATCAGTGGGAGGAATAGTGCCTCATCATTGGTGTCAGTGGGAGGAATAGTGCCCCATCATTGGTATCAGTGGGAGGAATAGTGCCCCATCATTGGTATCAGTGGGAGGAATAGTGCCCCATCATTGGTATCAGTGGGAGGAATAGTGCCCCATCATTGGTATCAGTGGGAGGAATAGTGCCCCATCATTGGTATCAGTGGGAGGAATAGTGCCCCATCATTGGTATCCGTGAGGAATAGTGCTCCATCATTGGTGTCAGTGGGAGGAATAGTTCTCCATCATTGGTATCAGTGGGAGGAATAGTGCCCCATCATTGGTGTCAGTGGGAGGAATAGTGCCCCATCATTGGTGTCATTGGGAGGAATAGTGCCCCATCATTGGTGTCAGTGGGAGGAATAGTGCCCCATCATTGGTGTCAGTGGGAGGAATAGTGCCCCATCATTAGTATCACTGGGAGGAATAGTGCCCCATCATTGAGTGGGAGGAATAGTGCCCCATCATTGGTATCAGTGGGAGGAATAGTGCCCCATCATTGGTATCAGTGGGAGGAATAGTGCCCCATCATTGGTATCAGTGGGAGGAATAGTGCCTCATCATTGGTGTCAGTGGGAGCTATAGTGCCCCATCATTGGTGTCACTGATGTAAACGGGGCTAGGGCGCCACTTTTATAGTTCGTCCCCGGGTGCAAATATCCTAGCTACACCTCTGGCGATACTTAAAAATCTCCATAGAAGATACTTTAAAATTCTTTTACAGATTACCTGTTTAGAGTTACAGATGCGGTCTAGTGCCAGAATTATTGCTCTTGCTCTAACATTCGTGGTGATATCTCCCATGTGTGGTGTTACATATGCGTTTGCTTCTGCGCGTGAGCATGGAGGGGGGGGGGGGCGCTTAAATTTTTTAATTTTTTTATTTTTACACTGTCCATTTAAATTGGGTTTTTTTCATCACTATTATTTCTATCACAAAGAATGTAAACATTTCTTGTAATAGAAATAAGGGATGACAGGTCCTCCTTATGGAGACATCTGGGGTCTCCGCTATCTTTAAAATCAAAATATAAAAAAAAAAAATAAAAATTTTTGATTTTTTTTGCTTAAAAAAAAAAGAAGACATGAAAGTAAAAATCCTTGAGCCTTTCCAATCACTTTAAAATAATCCAATCACTGAGATCTCATATTATTTTCCAGGTAAAGCGATATGAATAACGTCCTATAAAGTGCCACCTGAGTGGATCTCACATCTTGTGCTGTCATTGGAATAGTTAAGGAAATGGCTCCATCTAGCGGCTGGTTTGGTAACCCAGAGATGCCGTCGTCTTGTATAGCAAGGATACAACATACAATTTCTTCCTTACACCTTATGAATACGGAGCTATAAGGCAAGCCATAGACGATGCAATTATCTTTCCTGCAGCAGGAAAGAAAATCGCTTGATTCCCCCTCTCAGCACAGTCAGTTTCGATGGGAGAATCCCTCCTGCAGCGCTATTGCGTTCCAATTATCACTTCTGGTGGTTATAACCGCCAACAGTAATCACATGCAAAAAATCCGACCATCCAGTTCTATTGAAGTTGACCAATCGATTGGATTCAGTACAACCAGCCTGTCCATAGATGGGTTGAATCTCAGCCAGTCCCTGCTGAACCAGCTGAGATTTGATCCATCTATGGCCAGCTTTAGTCTCATAGGAAAAGCAAAAACTGTCGCTGCCACAATGATTCTTCTTTATAGCATGCTGGCGGGGGGGGGGGGGGGGGGGGAAGGCTTTTCTACTCTGTGGCTGCGGCTGCTTTAGAAAGAAAACCAACTGAAAGATTTTGCACACCTTTTGTTTTGATGCTCTGGGAATATATGTAGCTGATTTAACCACTTACCTACCGGACACTTTCACCCCCTTCCTGTCCGGACACTTTCCCCCCCTTCCAGTCCGGACACTTTTACCCCCTTCCAGTCCGGACACTTTCCCCCCCTTCCAGTCCGGACACTTCCCCCCCCCTTCCAGTCCGCACAACTTTCCCCCCTTCCAGTCCGGACACTTTCCCCCCCCAGTCCGGACACTTTCCCCCCCTTCCAGTCCGGACACTTTCCCCCCCTTCCAGTCCGGACACTCCCCCTTCCAGTCCGGACACTTTCCCCCCCTTCCAGTCCGGACACTTTCCCCCCCTTCCAGTCCGGACACTTTTACACCCTTCCTGTCCGGACACTTTTACCCCCTTCCAGTCCGGACACTTTCACCCTTCCAGTCCGGACACTTTCCAGTCCGGACACTTTCCCCCCCCCTTCCAGTCCGGACACTTTTACCCCTTCCAGTCCGGACACTTTCCCCCCTTCCAGTCCGGACACTTTCCCCCCCCCCCCCCCCCTTCCAGTCCGGACACTTTCCCCCCCTTCCTGTCCGGACACTTTCCCCCCCTTCCAGTCCGGACACTTTCACCCCCTTCCAGTCCGGACACTTTCACCCCCTTCCAGTCCGGACACTTTTATACTCCCCCCTTCCAGTCCGGACACTTTCCAGTCCCCTTTCCCCCCCTTCCAGTCCGGACACTTTCCCCGCCTTCCAGTCCCCCTTCCCCGCCTTCCAGTCCGGACACTTTCCCCCCCTTCCAGTCCGGACACTTTCCCCCCCTTCCAGTCCGGACACTTTCCCCCCCTTCCAGTCCGGACACTTTCCCCCCCTTCCAGTCCGGACACTTCCCCCCCTTCCAGTCCGGACACTTTCCCCCCCTTCCAGTCCGGACACTTTCCCCCCCTTCCAGTCCCCCGGACACTTTCCACCCCCTTCCGTCCGGACACTTTCCCCGCCTTCCAGTCCGGACACTTTCCCCCCCCTTCCAGTCCGGACACTTCCCCCCCCTTCCAGTCCGGACACTTTCCCCCCCCTTCCAGTCCGGACACTTTCCCCCCCTTCCAGTCCAGGACACTTTCACCCCTTCCAGTCCGGACACTTTCACCCCCTTCCTGTCCAGGCCAATTTTCAGCTTTCAGCGCTGTCACACTTTGAATGACAATTGCGCGGTCATGCTAAACTGTACCCATATGAAATTTTTAGCATTTTTTTGAGACAAATAAAGCTTTATTTTGGTGGTATTTAATCACCGCTGGGATTTTTTTATTTTTCGATAAACCGAAATCAACTGACAATTTTGAAAAAAAAAAAAGATTTTTTTCTTAGTTTCTGTTATAAAATGTTGTAAATTAGTAATTTTTCTCCTTCACTGATGTAATGAGGCTGCAGTGATGGGCACTGATTGGCTGCACTAATGGGCACTGATGAGGAAGCACTGGAAGGTGGCACTGATGGGCATTGACAGGCATCACTGGTGAGGTATTCACAGACATCACTGATGGGCACTGAAAGACAGTACTCATATATCGCACTGATAGGTGGCACTGATAGGCAGCACTAATGGGCACTGATAGGCGGCACTGACTGGTACTGATAGGTGGTACTGACTGGAACTGTTAGGCGGCACTGACTGATACTGACAGCTCGTGAGTAGAGAAATGCATATAACTGGCATTTCCTTATTTACTTGCGGTCAGCTGTGATTGGACATAGCTGATCACATGACAGAGCCAATGTCATTGGCTCTTTCCACTGAACGGTAATGAGCAGGGGAGGATCAGCAAAGCTTTAGGACCGGAGCAGGAGAAACTAGCAGATGTCACACGTGGTGGGCAGCATGGGAGCAGTATAGCGGGAGGCAAACGGTGGGATCAGCAGACCAGAGGATCAGAAGATCTGGGGGTTACCACTAAGCAGGGGATCAGCAGAGCTGGGGGTTACTACTGAGTGAGGCATCAGCAGAACTGAGGGTACTACTGAGCAGGGAAATTTACGGACTAAGGGTGCTAACAAGCTGGGGATCTGCTGAACAAGGGTACTGATGAGCTAGGGATCTGCTGAACAAGGGTGCAAAAGAGCTGGGGATCTGCTGAGCAGGGGTACTGATGAGCTGGGGATCTGCTGAACAAGGGTACTGATGAGCTGGGGATCTGCTGAGCAGGGGTAATAATGAGCTGGGGAACTGCTGAACAAGAGTACTAATGAGCTGGGGATCTGCTGAGCAGGGGTACTAATGAGCTGGGGATCTGCTGAGCAGGGGTACTGATGAGCTGGGGATCTTCTGAACAAGGGTACTAATGAGCTGGGGATCTGCTGAGCAGGGGTTTCTACTGGGCCCCTTTAAAACAAATAGAAAATCATCACACACAGGACATTTGTCAAGCTTCAATAAAGTTTCAAAAAACTTTACTGAAGCATCAAAAAAATACATAAAAAAGCACGATGAAGCGGTAGATGCTTTAATGTGTGTTAAAGGGGAAGCAAGTGTAAATGAGCCATAAAGTACATGTGTTGGTATGGTCAATGTACAGCTCACGAGTAAACATTTGTTTTTCTTCTCATTTTTCAGGAGGTGGAGAGAGAAATCTCATTCAGGACGGAGTGCGGACTGTATTATTCTTACTATAAACAAGTGCTGCACGCCCCGACCATTGCTCAAGGTGCGCTCTTTGTCGTCTTACACACGGTTATGTTGTGTTGTGTACATGGAGGTCTTCCACCAAAGCCTTGTATCTGCTTTTAATGCGATTCTAAAGGTTCATTTTTTTTTTTTTTCTTTGTAAACTGTCGGGTTCCCCCATAGCAAGCAGCTTGCTGTGGGGGCAACCACTGCTCCGTGTGTCCATTCACACATGGAGCTGCAGCTTGGCCCCACCCCCTCTCTCATCATCATGGCTGACTGGCTGTGATTGACAGCAGCAGGAGCCAGTGGCTGTCTCAGCCGGCAGAGACCCAGGGCAGCCGAAGCTGTTGTTCACATCGCTGGATTGTGATGGGGCTCAGGTAGGTATTGAGGGGGCTGCGGGCAGTGCTGCACACACAGGTTTTTTGCCTTCATGCATAGAGTACATGAAGGTAAAAAGCCTTCAGCCTTTACAACCACTTTAATTCCATGTTTTATTTTAAAAGTCTGAAGGAAATAGTAACACAATGCACAGGGGCACACTGAGGCTCAGGCAGGAGGAGGACACTGGTGCACACAGAGAGCAGAAATATTCATGGACACAGCAGGAATGAGGAAGGAATACATGAAGGAGGCACTTTAGGTCTGCAAAATGTTGGGACACAAAAGACACGGAGGGAACAGGCAGTCGGGATGTAGGGAAAGACAGAAAACATGGGGGCTTAGCGGAGGCATAGCATTGTGTCGCTCAGATGCTGAGCCATGTGACACCTGCCCCTGATAGGCAAAAAATATCACCCAATTGTACACCCCCCATACAAAACACTAAATTGTAAATACAATTTTGAAAATCCTTACTGTCTAGGAGAAAAGTCTAATTAAATTTTCATGACCTCATCTCTGTAATTCAAATATAACCGCATCTGCTCTGCCAAGGAGGTGTAACAGCCGGGATTACAACATATTCTCTCCTCTCTGCAATAAAAGGAAACTACAGTTCCCATCAACCACAAGGAATTGTAGGGAATGTGAGTGGGAACACTAAGCCTGTAAATGTTGAATGTGTCTAAGAGGCTCGTTCCTCCCACCACTGCAAGTGGTGCTGAATGACATCACAGCTTAAATTTTCATGACCTCATCTTTGTAATTCAAAAGATAACCGCATCTGCCCTGCCAAGGAGGAGGTGTAACAGTCCGGATAACATCACATCCTCTCCTCTCTCCCTGCAATAAAAGGAAACTACAGTTCCCATCAACCCCAGGGAATGGTAGGGAATGTAAGCGGGTACACTAGTCCTGTACATGTTGAATGTGTCTGAGAGGCTTGGTCCTCCCACCACTGCAAGTGGGGCTGAATGGCGTCCAGGGGTGGACTGACAACTCATGGGGCCCCCCGGGCAATAGGGGATCATGGGGCCCCTGTGTCCTCGCCCACACTCAAAGCACACCCAAAAAAGCCTATAAAAGGTACCAGGGGCATTTCATGGGGCCCTCTACTGACCCCTGGGCCCTCGGGCAGTGCCCGAGTGCTCGAATGGTAGTCCACCCCTGATGGCATCACAGCTTCCTGGAGAAAGAACTACAGAAGGGATGTGCCAAGACCAGTGGCTGGGGGAATAGGAGGCATAGCAGCCACAGGTCTTACAAACAGGAAACCAAAGAGAATTAACAGTTTGAAATGAAAAAGAATAGACTATTTCAGAGCAACTATTGGAGTGAACCAGAAGATGGATGAGAAATTTAGTGAAGGTAGGAAATCAGCAACAAGGACATGTAAAGACGTTTTTGCCCAGAGTTCTGCTTTAAGCAAGCCCTTGTCTTCAACTTGGCCACATTGCTGGCATTCCAGGTGAAACCCAGAAGTGCTAGTGGCCACGCATCAAAGAGAAGACCCAACTGAGACCTAACACTGGACCCCAGGAGAGGTGAAGATTACAAGCTTCATACAATGTGCTCATGGGAAATGAACCCAGTACCCCAGAGCTGCAAGAAATGTTTAATATGCACTTGCATTTCACAGCAGACCCTATGGGGTTGATTTACTAAAACTGGAGAGTGCAAAATCTGGTACAGATGTGCATGGGAAGCCAATCAGCTTTTAACTTCTTCTGTTTAATTAAGCCTTGACTAAAAAAAAAAAAACTGGAAGCTGATTGGTTCCTATGCAGAGCTGCACTGGATTTTGCACTCTACAGTTTTATTAAATTTACCTCTATGTATAAAAAGTCGCTACAAACATTGAAGGGAATTTATCAAACAGGAATAGCCAAAATCAGAAACAGCTGCCCATGGTAACCAATCAGCTTCTAGCTTTCATTTTCAAAGCTTAACTGAACAAGCTGAAGATAGAAGCTGATTGGTTGCCTTGCACAGCTGTAACAGATTCTGTCTGCTCCAATTTTGATCTATTCCCTTCCATTGTCTTTATTGTCGTGTTGCATTGTTTTATTTTTCTGCTGTTTCCTTTTGCTGTCCTATATAGTGAATCTTCTGTGTCTGTCTCTTACAGGAATCTCTGATTTAATCTCTGATAATAAAACAGAGTCCATGAGGACCATCAATATTCTGGAGAGGATGAATGTGTACCAGGAGCTTGTCCTGGCGGTCATCTACAGAACCTTCAATCTTTGGGTGAGTCTTGGTGTGTTAAGGTATAGATGTGAATTCATTTGTTTTAAAGAGGACTTTCCACCTGTTAACCAACAACCAGGGGCGGACTGACCATTCGAGCAGTTGGGCACTGCCCGAGGGCCCGGGGTCAGTAGGGGGCCCCATGAAATGCCCCTGGTACCTTTTATAGCCTTTTTTGGGTGTGCTTTGAGTGTGGGCATGATCCCCTATTGCCCAGGGGCCCAATGAGTTGTCAGTCCACCCCTGCCAACGACTAATATCCACTGCTCTAATTATTTCCCTACTTGATTTTTAAGAACACTTACTAGTTCTTGAAATCCAAAGTTACCTTCCTTCCATCTAAAGTCCTCCTCATGCTGCTGTCCTCACATGCGGCCATCTTGGATCTTGTGTTAGCTTGAGCTGGCTGCGTTAGCTCGCAATTTTCTATTATGATGAATCTATTTTAAACAGACTGTAATTTTGGCCCCTTTAAAAGCAATGCCTCTGACCCAACCGCTCCATTTTTTTGTCGAAGCCAGGAGTCATACCCTGTGTCAGCTCTGTGGTGGAGGTTTGACGGCATCCTCCTCCTCAGGTGACAGCGTTCAGGCCATGCCATTGACAACTCTTACCTGAGCATCTAGAATCTCGGGGTACTTGTAATGGTTAAGAAGCATCAGGTAAAGTGGCAGAGTCAAGCTCTCAGCCCTGGAGAGGGGTAGTCCTAGGTGGGGCTGCAGAGTGCTATGTGCTTTCCTATAGAGAGTGGCACTGCTCTCTGCAACATTTAGTATCCAACCACCAGTGTTGTAAAAAAAAAGGTGTAGAGAGGCCTTTGATGTCTGCCGACCAGACCACAGACACCTGGAAAAAGAGATGTACTGTGTATTGAATTAAAGCTGAATACTAAGTATGGCATTTTTGCATCGTTTCATCGTTTCATCATGGACTAATGTAATTACTTATGTGCCATACATGTGGGATTCCTCTAAAGGTGGAGGGCTAGAAGGGTTGCTGTACAGGAGATGGTGGGCTAGAAGGGGTGTTCTGCTGGAGGTTGGAGACTAGAGGAGTCCCTCTACTGGAGTGGGGGGGGGGGGGGGGCTACAAGAGGTTACCTACTGGAAGTGAGGGGCTAGAAGGGGTGCTCTACTGGGAGTGGGGGATAGAATTGGTGCTCCATTGGAGCTTGGATGCTAGAATGTGTGCTCTACTTAAAGTGGGGGGCTAGAGGTGGTGCTCTACTGGAAGTTGGAGGGTTGAAGGAGTGCTCTACTGGAAGTTGGGAGTTAGAAGGCTTGCTGTACTGAAGGTTGGGATCTAGAAGGGGTGCTCTACTGGAAGTGGGTGGCTAGAAGTGGTGCCTTACAAGAGGTTGAGGCTAGAAAGAGTGCTCAATTGGAAGTTGGAGGCTTGAAGGGGTGCTCTACTGGAAGTTGGGAGTTAAGAGGCGTGCTGTACTGAAGGTTGGGGGCTAGAAAGGGTTGTTCAACCGGAAGTTGGAGGCTTAAAGGGGTGCTCTACTGGAAGTAGGAAGGGGTGCTGTACTGGAGATTGGGATCTAGAAAGGGTACTCTACTGGAAGCGGGTGGCTAGAAGTGGTGCCTTACAAGAGGTTGGGGCTAGAAAGAGTGCTCAATTGGAAGTTGAAGGCTTGAAGGGGTGCTCTACTGGAAGTTGGGAGTTAAGAGGCGTGCTGTACTGAAGGTTGGGATCTAGAAGGGGTGCTCTACTGGAAGTGGGTGCTAGAAGTGGTGCCCTACCAGAGGTTGGGGGCTAGAAGGTGGGAAGTTGTTCAACCGGAAGTTGGAGGCTTGAAGGGGTGCTCTACTGGAAGTTGGAAAGGGTGCTGTACTGGAGATTTGGATCTAGAAAAGGTGCTCTACTGGAAGTGGGTTGATAGAAGTGGTGCCCTAACGGAGGTTTGGGGCTAGAAGGGGTGCTTTATTGGAGGTGGGAGGCTGGAACTGGTGGGTGGAGTTTAGTCAAGGGTTAGACTTTCAAGTGGTTCTAAAGCCAAAATGTTTTTTACCTTAATGCATTTCACAGCATTAAGGTAAAAAACATTTTACATCTTGCTGTCCTTCCCCACCTCTCTAAACACTTACCTGAGTCCTCAGTCGATCCAGCTCTGTGCACGGCTGGATCTCTTCTCTTCTCTCTTCTTCCTCACACAGGGACTCAGGCAGCAGTAGGAGCCATTGGCTTCTGCTGCAGTCAATCAAATGCTGTGAGGAGGAATCGGGGGGCAGGCCCAAGCCGCACTGTGTGTGTCTATGGAATGCAGCTCTATAGACACACACAGCTCAGGATCAAGCACGCACTGTGTGCCTCCATAGCAAGCGGCTTCCTATGGGGGGCACACAAAGAAGAGGAGGAGCCAAGATTGCTGGTGGGGGACCCCAGAAGAGCAGGTTTGGGGGGTCACTCTGTGCAATACCATTGGTATTGCACAGAGCAGATGAGTATAACATGTTTATTATTTCAATTAAACAAAAATGTGCCTTTTAATGACACTTTAGGATGTCATTGACGTGTAAGGATTTTGCAGGGAGTCGTTAACAAGATTTGACTAACGCTGCCTTTCCCATTTCACAGAGCTTTATTATTGGTTTTATTGCTGTCTTTTCATTGTGAAGTTGTCGTCCTCACAGAGCCTGCTGGATCCTGTCTATTTCTACATCTATACGCTGTTCGGGCTGCAGACGCTGTATGTAGCGGCTCTGTATATTAACAGCTGGCTGCTCAGTGGGACTTGGCTTTCTGGATCATTAGCGGCTCTATGGTACATTGTTAACAGGTAAAGTTCAATTCAGAATCGGCATCTACAAGTCATCAATGACAGGCGGCTAATGGTGTCATTTTTATGCATATCGCAGTAACGGGCCATGTGCTCGGCTCCCGCCAGCAGCTGTTCTGCGTACTGTGATGGCACGACTTTGAAACATTGCCTGCCTCTTGTGTGGGAACTGCAGCGATTACCCAAAGCAGCCTTTCGAAGGTTTTCATTCGCTGTTTTAGGACAATTTATCCCCTTCCTACTTGATGTAAATAATGATATCAGTGTGTTCATGATTTTTTTTTTTTTATTTTATTTTATGAACCAATTCAGCTTTCACACCCTCACCCTCTGTTAGGACTCATGTACACTGCAGCTGATAAACTCACATTTAGGATCTGTTCAGCGTTTTTTTTCAGCAGCCCCTCAACTCACCCTAATGTTTTCCTATGTGTCCATGTACACATCTTCCTTTACAGGCATTTGAGTTTACAGTCGTTTTTTTGAACGCAGAAAATTTGCGTTCAGCAGTCGATTTTATCAGCGTTTCAAGCGCAAAACACTTGTAAACGTGCCAAATCGCATTTATAAGTGTTTGCGTCTGAAAATTTTTTACAGTTCCAGTTCCCGATGCTGTCCAGAGCCCTTTTTCATCATGAAAAATGCATGCAAAGCGTTTTCAAGGTACTCAGATGGACAAAACACTGAACACAGGATGTTCCTACCAAGCTTGTCACACATTGTAATGACCATTCACACCTCAGACCTCTCCCACCCTTGGAAACAAAAGATATGTTAATGACCATTCACACCTCAGACCTCTCCCACCCTTGGAAACAAAAGATATATTAATGACCATTCACACCTCAGACCTCTCCCACCCTTGGAAACAAAAGATATGTTAATGACCATTCACACCTCAGACCTCTCCCACCCTTGGAAACAAAAGATATGTTAATGACATCTAACTGCGATCTTTGTTTTTATAGAATTGATACAACGCGGGTAGAATTCACCATTCCTCTGAGAGAAAACTGGGCTCTGCCTTTTTTTGCTGTTCAGATCGCCTCCATTTCCTACGTGTTTAGGCCGGGCCTGAGCAGAGTGAAGGAGGTAAGTGTCTGATAGATGAGCACGGCGGCGCGTGGGACATTCTAGTCTTATTTGAAAGCAGAATTCAAGCAACCAGCTAAATACACCAGCCTGTGATTGAAAAGGTGAAAAGAGAAGCAGAAGACTGATGAGCTGATCTCTCTGTCACCTTGCTCTCTTCATCTATCAGCATGCTCCTTTTACTGCAGCACAATTGGCTGGCTACTTGTGCTGCTTCTCTCTTTCGCTGTCTGGCCTCTGCTGTACAGGGGCTGCAAGAGGCTGATAACAGGTCAAATTTGGAAGCTTACACAGCTTACATCAAAACATACATTAACCACTTCCCGTCCGGACCCCTGTACATAAACGGTTGGGCGGGAGTGCTGCTGGAGCGGGTGGGGTGGACATTTCTAAATGTCCCCCCGCATCCATTGCCTGTGCGTGCTCCCTGAGAGCACACGGCACCGTGATCGGTGTCCGGAGGACATAGCAGAACACCGATCGCTGTACGGGACCTCTGTGTGAGGTCCCAATCATGTGATCACTGACTGGCCAATCAATGATCACATGAATAGTAGTGAACAAGATGTCACTTCCTGACATCATTGCTTACTACTTGTGAAATCTGTGAATGATCACAGAGGTCACATGGTACAAAGCTATTCACAACAACCTTGTACCATGTGACAAGCTGTGACCAATCACAGCTTTCACAGTATTTCTCAGTGGCTGCAAGAATGCAGCCAGAGAGAAGGAGAAATTATTGCTTTTACAGTCTTTAAGGGTGTAAAAGCAATCAGTGTAAAAAAAGAAAATCTTCATCACCCCCCACAAGTACAGTGTCACTATGGTGACATTGTACTGCTAGGGTGACAGTATGTAAGAAAAAAAAAATAGCCCATAAATAATAATATAAAATAAAAATATAAAAAATGTATTTGATAAATTATATTTTTTGGTTATAAACTAATTTGGGTTTTTTTTTATTACTGAAAAGATAAATGAATACATTTTGGCCAAGATTTATGAAGAAAGATTATTTATTTGGAAAATTATATAAGGAAAACACTTTTATTTTCAACATTTTTGGACTTTTTCATTTATATAGCAAAACAAATTAAAATCCCAGTGGTGAATAAATACCACCCAAATAAAAATGCTAAAAAATTCATATGGGTACAGTGTTGCAGGACTGCGCAATTATCATTCAAAGTGTGATAGCGCCAAAAGCTGAAAATTAGCCTTGACAGGAAGGGGATGTCCGGACTTGTAGTGGTTAAAGGATGTATTAATGATCACAGAGCTGCCTGAAAAATTGCCTAACAAATATGAAAAAAATAAAGCACATATAATGTGATCTGAATGATTTTAAGTTTGCTTTCTTTTCTAATTTCTATGAATATTTTTAGATTTTGATTTCATTTTATGTTCCTCTCCAGAGACTGTCCCTTCTCCTGGTGTTCATTTCCACATTCCTCTTCAGTCTGACGTGGCAGTTCAACCAGTTTGTGTTACTACTGCAAGGTTTGGTGCTGTTTGCCCTGGACTGCCTGGACTTGGTTCCGAGCCGCAAGGTAGGTCTGTGTGAAGGAGTCTGTCAGATTAACATAGCTGGTTTGTGTTGAAGACTGCGCTGGACTGAATGGATCAGTCACTGGTCGTAGGTGGGTGGATCAGTCACTGGTTGTAGGTGGGTGGATCAGTCACTGGTCGTAGGTGGGTGGATCAGTCACTGGTCGTAGGTGGGTGGATCAGTCACTGGTCGTAGGTGGGTGGATCAGTCACTGGTCGTAGGTGGGTGGATCAGTCACTGGTCGTAGGTGGGTGGATCAGTCACTGGTCGTAGGTGGGTGGATCAGTCACTGGTCGCAGGTGGGTGGATCAGTCACTGGTCATAGATGGGTGGATCAGTCACTGGTCGTAGATGGGTGGATCAGTCACTGGTCGTAGGTGGGTGGATCAGTCACTGGTCGTAGGTGGGTGGATCAGTCACTGGTCGTAGGTGGGTGGATCAGTCACTGGTCGTAGGTGGGTGGATCGTCACTGGTCGTAGGTGGGGATCAGTCACTGGTCGTAGGTGGGTGGATCAGGTCACTGGTCGTAGGTGGGTGGATCAGTCACTGGTCGTAGGTGGGTGGATCAGTCACTGGTCGTAGGTGGGTGGATCAGTCACTGTGGTAGGTGGGTGGATCAGTCAGTTGTGCCCAATGGTGGATACTGGCTGTAAACCCTCTTACCCCCGGTTCACATCTGTGCAGGTGGTGCTGCTACAGATCCGCATGAAAATCCATGCAGCCGCACCACCCGCACAGAGAATTGCGGACCCGCAGGTGGGTGCCATTATTTCTAATGGCACGTCGCCCGCACTGAGAAACGCAACCGTACTGGGAACCGAGGTTCCCATGCGGGCTGCGTTTTCCAAAGTAGTGCAGGAACTTATTTCCCTGCGTGTCATGGGTACGGGAGTCCATTCAAATGAATGGGCTCTCGTGCCCGAGCAAAACGCGGCCCGCGCGGCCGAATAGGTGCGAACCGGGGGTTAGGCTTTACGACTGCTGCATTTCTGGTTCTGGTTCTGGTTCTTAAGGTCCTTTCCACACATATTCTTGAAATAATAGAACAAGAAGGAGTACTCCGTGTCCAAAAGAATGCACTTTTTTATGGTAGATTAACCCCTTCACGCCAGCGCCTCCCGGCCCTTTAAAGCGGAGCTCGGGGCTCCACAGCAATTTTTTTTTAAAAGCACCATCATGATTGTTATTACTTGTACTGAAATAATTGGCTGTTAATATAACTGTATTGATACCTGTTATTCTTACATCTGTAATCGATCACACAATCTTGTCAGTAGGCAGGGGCCATGGTAGATGTGGGCATCTGAAGCCCGCTCCTGTTCACTTCCGGGATTGGGTGCAGCTGGCTACCCAGCATGCACCTCCCGATCTCGCGCCTGGGCAGTAATGACACTACGCAGCGCAGTTTGTTGATAGCAATGGTGGCATCGGCGGAAATTACCGCTCTGTTGTTATGGCAATCTGTCAATCAGAAGACCCGGAAGTTGGATGCGATCTGGGAAATAATGCGATTTTTCATTTTTACTCAATTTGCTTGGACTCCTGGGATAGATAACGCCTGAAACGGAACCGACCCCCAGACTGCACTTGCGTACTTCCATTATAATACCGCTTCCCCGTCTGAACACCGACCACAGACACCACACCCGACCAAACAAGACTAGACGCCACCAGTCTTGAAACAAACCAGGAAATAGACTTGTTTATTTTAACACAGATACAAGATATATACATTCAAGGGAACAACCCCCCCTCTCCCTGCATAATGACACAGGGCAGGGCAATCTACATTTAGTAACAACAGACACACCAGCAGACAGTCCCATCAGTAGGGAGGGCTGCTGCAGGCACTCCGCTCACCAAGCCAATACACATAAACACATACTTCCCATAATAGTTTGCTCCCAAGCAAGACACACAATAGAACAATGGGATGCAACCACATGGCATTAAACAATCCACAAACCCCACCCCAATATTAGGACAGATCACCCTGTACCCCTAACAGGCACAGGGTGACTTACACATAATAGGGATATGGGGAGCTGAGACAGGGGTCTCCCCACCTCTCCAAAGGGGGCTGTGTTCCATGGGCCCCCCACCCAAAGTGACTCCCGTCACAACGACGATATCCCAGGAGTCCATGGGAAGCACCTTATGACGACATTGCCTAGGCGGCCGGACCAGAAGTGCTGCATACACAGATACAAATAAGGCATTCAGACATAGAAATATATATATATACGTATTAATATCCATTAAGGAATACACAGCGGGTGGGCATGTAGATGAAAGCAACTTTTTAAAAAACGGGTGGAACTCCGCTTTAAGCAGTTTTTGACACTGGGAGGCGGGGCAGGGTTTAGGGTCATGTGACCACTGTGATTGACACCGACACATGTGCTGGGATCGTGCAGGGCTGTGTGTATTAGCTTGTATAGGCATGATCTCTGTTGGGTGGGTGTCACTGCAGTGCTGCCTCCACCTGACTCCTACCACAGGCCAGAATAGAGCAGGATAAAAAAAAAATCAAAGGTCAATGATCATGTGATCTTTTTTTTTTGAAAGTGCTTCTAGAGGCAGAAGGTTTTTACCCGATTGCATTCTATGCATTAAGGTAAAAAACCTCCTGCATGCAGCTCCGGCCCCTCTTATACTTACCTGATCCTGATCTTGATCCAGCAATGTGCACAAGAGCAGAGGCTCTCTCAGCTCTCTCTTTCTTTCCTCATTGGCTCTGAGACAGCGGACACACAGAGCCAGCTCGGGAGCGAGCGCGCACAAGTGCCCCCATAGCAAGCAGAGTATAAAAATACAGATTGCTGCAGACCGGAGTTCTGCTTTAAAGTGTGTGCTTTATTTATTCAGAGCAAACCAACAGGTTTGCTTTCAGTTTGCCAGCAGCACACACTTTGCTTTTCTGCTGCTGTGGGAGCCGAGGGATATCCCAGGTACATTCATGCACCTGTAAAACCATTCCTGTTTTGGGGGTCGTCTCATTTTTGCCCATCTAGTACACCTGTTGTTAATTTCATTACCACCAAAGCAGCTGAAACGGATAAGAACCCCCTCTGCTACTTACCTCACCAGATCAATATCTCAGGAGTTTCATTGACTTGATGCTAGACTCTGATTACAAAGTGTTCCTTTCATTTTTTTTAACAGTATATGTATGTTTGCCCATGTTGTGTTGTCTGTAGGTGAGAAGCCTGTACATGATTCAGGCATCCAGTCTTCTTCTGGTGTGTCTCCCTCCAGTTCATCAATACCATGATTCTGGGCTCACTGCTTCTCGGCTTCATCCTGGCTGCCGTTATCGCCCAGAGATTACAGGTGAGCATATCTCAGTTTGATGGGTTTTATTCGCTCAACTGCTAATGCTGTGGTCGGGTGGGTGCAGGTCAGTGACTTGTGTGTGTTTGTATGTGTGTGTATACCTATACACACACACTATATTGCCAAAAGTATTGGCCCCGCCCTCCAAGTCATGTGATTCAGGTGTTCCAATCCCCTCCATGGACACAGGTGGATACAATCATCCCCTAGGCATGCAGACGGCTTCTACAAACATTGGTGAAAGAATGGGTCGCTCTCAGGAGCTCAGTGACTCCAAGCGTGGTCCCGTGATAGGTGGCCACCTGGGCAATAAGTCCATCCGGGACATTTCCTGGCTACTAAATATTCCACGCTCAACTGTTAGTGGGATTATAACAAAGTGGAAGCAACTGGGAACAACAGCAACTCAGCCACCAAGTGGTAGGCCGCGTCACATGACAGAAAGGGGTCAGCGCATGATGAAGCGCACAGTGCGCAGAAGTCGCCAACTGTCTGCAGAGTCAATAGCTAAAGACCTCCAAACTTGGTGTGGCCTTCAGATGAGCCCAACAACAGTGCGTAGAGAGCTTCATGGAATGGGTTTCCATGGCCGAGCAGCTGCATCCAAGCCTTCCATCACCAAGTGCAATGCAAAGTGTCAGATGTTGTGGTGTAAAGCACGCTGCCACTGGACTCTCGAGCAGGGGAGATGTGTTCTCTGGAGTGACCAATCACGCTTCTCTTGTCTGGCAATCTGATGGACGTGTCTGGGTTTGGCAGTTGCCATGAGAACAGTACTTGCCTGACTGCATTGTGCCAAGTGTAAAGTTTGGTGAAGGGGGGACCATGGTAGGGGGTTGTTTTTCAGGGGGTTGGGTTGGGCCCCCTAGTTACAGTGAAGGGAACTCTTAAGGTGACATTTTGGACAATTTCATGCTCCCAACTTTGTGGGAAGAGTTTGGGGATGGCCCCTTCCTGTTCCAACATGACTGCACACCAGTGCACAAAGTAAGATCCATAAAGACATGGAGGAGCCAGTTTGGGGTGGAGGAACTTGACTGGCCTGCACAGAGTCCTGACCTCAACCCCATAGAACACCTTTGGGATGAATTAGAGCGGAGACTGTGAGCCAGGCCTCCTCCCCCGACATCAGTGCCTGACCTGACAAATGTGCTTCTGGAAGAATGGTCCAACCTTCCCATAGACACCCTCCTAAACCTTGTGGACGGCCTTCCCAGAAGAGTTGAAGCTGTTATAGTTGCAAAGGGCGGGGCCAACTCAATATTGAACCCTACGGACTAAGACTGGGGGGCCATTAAAGTTCATGTGTGTGGAAAGGCAGGCGGCTCAATACTTTTGGCAATCTAGTGTAGTTGTATGCTATACACCATCAGTCCTGGATGTACATCTTACCAATGGGGTGTAAAGGAATTATTTGCAGGACTCCACCAATTGTTCTGACATGATGACTACTCGTCTTATTTTTTGGATACGTGATGTAATGACTTTCTATTTTAAGGCTTTATTTTCCTATCTCTCAAGGAAATCCATAGTCTATTATAATAATAATTCCATTCCCTGCACTTCTGATACTTTCCAGTCTATGGATCCAAATATTTTATTTGAGTTTGTTACATGTATTTATGTTGTCTTTCAGAAAAACCTAAAAAGTGGCAGTCTGTTAAGAAGACTCTGGAACATTACCATCCATGTAATGATCGTTCTGCTCCTTGCTACAGTTATAAATAAGTGCGTTAAGGTGAGCAGATAATAGTAGATGTAATAAAAGGTATCCAGTCTGTTCAGTAATACAAATGCCAAATACAGTAGTTATCTAAAGCCTTGTTTACACGGGGCGTACTACAGCGTACACCCATATGAGATCTGTGTTTACCCACACAGGGATGCACAGGTGTTCCATGCATGCTTGTGCAAGCAGTCCCATTCACATCAATTGGGACGCAGCAGCTACACAGACATCCAGTTTGACATCTGTGAGGGTACATGGCTCTGTATGCACATTGTTTGCATTCAGGGCCATGCACCCACATAGATGTCAGATTGGGAGCGGTGGATGCGTCCGTGCAGTTGCTGCATCACAGTTGACATAAATGGGACTGCTGCGCAAGAACACCTGTGTTAACCCCTTCCAGTCCGGACACTTTCCCCCCCCCTTCCAGTCCGGACACTTTCCCCCCCTTCCAGTCCGGACACTTTCCCCCCCCCCCTTCCAGTCCGGACACTTTCCCCCCCTTTTTCCAGTCCGGACACTTTCCCCCCCTTCCAGTCCGGACACTTTCCCCCCCTTCCAGTCCGGACACTTTCCCCCCCCTTCCAGTCCGGACACTTTCCCCCCCTTCCAGTCCGGACACTTTCCCCCCCTTCCAGTCCGGACACTTTCCCCCCCTTCAGTTTGGACACTTTCCCCCCTTCCAGTCCGGACACTTTCCCCCCTTCCAGTCCGGACACTTTCCCCCCCCCCTTCCAGTCCGGACACTTTCCCCCCTTCCAGTCCGGACACTTTCCCCCCCTTCCAGTCCGGACACTTTCCCCCCCCCCCTTCCAGTCCGGACACTTTCCCCCCCTTCCAGTCCGGACACTTTCCCCCCCTTCCAGTCCGGACACTTTCCCCCCCTTCCAGTCCGGACACTTTCCCCCCCTTCCAGTCCGGACACTTTCCCCCCCTTCCAGTTCGGACACTTTCCCCCCTTCCAGTCCGGACACTTTCCCCCCTTCCAGTCCGGACACTTTCCCCCCCTTCCAGTCCGGACACTTTCCCCCCCTTCCAGTCCGGACACTTTCCCCCCCATCCAGTCCGGACACTTTCCCCCCCTTCCAATCCGGACACTTTTACCCCCTTCCAGTCCGGACACTTTTACCCCCTTCCAGTCCGGACACTTTCCCCCCCTTCCAGTCCGGACACTTTTACCCCCTTTCCAGTCCGGACACTTTTACCCCCTTCCAGTCCGGACACTTTTACCCCCTTCCAGTCCGGACACTTTTACCCCCTTCCAGTCTGGACACTTTTACCCCCTTCCAGTCCGGACACTTTTACCCCCTTCCAGTCCGGACACTTCCCCCCCCCTTCCAGTCCGGACACTTTCCCCCCCTTTCTGTCCAGGCCAATTTTCAGCTTTCAGCGTTGTCACACTTTGAATGACAATTGCGCGGTCATGCAACACTGTACACATATGAATTTTTTAGCATTTATTTGAGACAGATAAAGCTTTATTTTGGTGGTATTTATTCATCACTGGGATTTTTATTTTTTTTGCTATGTAAATGAAAATGTCCAAACATTTTGAACAAAAAGTGTTTTTTTTAAATAAAATTTTTTGCAAATAAATAATATTTCATCCTAAATCTTGGCCAAAATTTATTCCGTTATTTTTTTAGTAAAAAAAAAAATCCAAAATTAGTTTATAACCAAAAATTATAATTTTTAAACATTTTTTTTTACATTTTTTTTTATTTATTTATTTATTTATTTTTTTACATACTGTCACCCTAGCAGTACAGTGTCACCATGGTGACACTGTACTACTTGTGGGGGGTGATGAAGATTTTTTTTTTTTTTTTTACACTGATTGCTTTTACACCCATATAGGATGTAAAAGCAATCATTTCTCTCTCTGTCATTCTTGCAGCCATTGAGAACTACTGTGTGAGCTGTGATTGGTCACAGCTTGTCACATGGTACAAGGCTGTTGTGAATAGCCCTGTACCATGTGACCTCTGTGATCATTCACAGATTTCACACATGGCAAATTAATAATATCTCATCATAAATCTTGGCCAAATTAATTCCGCTATCTTTTTAGTAAAAAAATAAAAATAACCGAAATTAGTTTATAACCAAAAACTATCATTTTTAAACATTTTTTATTTTATTTTTTTGGTTTTTTTTTACATACTGCCACCCTAGCAGTACAGTGTCACCATGGTGACACTGTACTACTTGTAGGGGTGATGGAGATTTTTTTTTTACACTGATTGCTTTTACACCCATAAAGGCTGTAAAAGCAATCATTTCTCCTTCTCTCTGGCTGCATTCTTGCAGCCATTGAGAACTACTGTGTGAGCTGTGATTGGTCACAGCTTGTCACATGGTACAAGGCTGTTGTGAATAGCCCTGTACCATGTGACCTCTGTGATCATTCACAGATTTCACACATAGTAAGCAATGATGTCAGAAGTGACATCTTGCTTACTACTCTGCATGTGATCATTGATTGGCCAATCAGTCATCACATGATCGGGACCTCGCACAGAAGTCCCGTCCAACGAACAGTGTTCCACTGTGTCCGGCGGATACAACGGGCACCGGATCATGGTGCTGCGCGCTCCCAGGGAGCGCGCACAAGCAAGGGGGCATGGAGGCTGTTTATAAACAGCCACCCGACCCTGCACTGCCACTGTCCGGCCGTTATGCAATGGCCGGACGGGAAGTGGTTAAACACAGCCTTCGCAGGGGTGTACGTTGTAGCACACCCTGTGTGAATTAGGCCTTGTATAACATTTTGGTACAGCCAAAGTGTATGTAATCCCGAGAACAAAAATGAAATATATATTGCAGCCTACCAATCCTTAGGTGTGGTGGCTGCATTGGTTTACTATTTTCAGGCTTTTTTTTTCTTCCAATTTATTTCACCTGGCGATCCTGCCAAAAACATTTCTTGCTTTAGGGCGATGACGCTCACTCACTGTACTGTATCTAGGAAGGAAGAGTGTTGTCACCCCAGAACAAGAAGTGTGTTAGGACTACTGAATTATGTGTACAAGTATCCTGTGTCCCAATTTGCAATAATTAAGCTGCAAACAAAAAGTGAAACAAATCACATTAGACGTATATGAAAATAAATGCTGCGCCATCCTGAAACACACAAATAATCTTATGTATGTGTAAAAAAAAACTACCATTTTACACAACATCGGAATCACTTGAATAATCGCAAATAAGAAAATAAATCTCAAAAAGCTATATACAGTATCCCAGAAGTGAGTCCAACCTCACATGTTTGTAAATATTTGATTCTCTCTTTTCTTGTGACAACACTGAAAAAATGACACTTTGCTACAATGTGACGTAGTCAGTGTACAGCTTGTATATGGAAATTTGCTGTCCCCTCAAAATAACTCAACACACCGCCATTAATGTCTAAACCGCTGGCAACAAAAGTGAGTTCACCTATGGGCAAAGTCTCACCTCTATTTATTGACCCTCACGGGAAAGGTCAAAATGTGCTCCTGTATGAATAATCAGGTGTACCCTCTACTTGTTTGATCAGCAAATCCTCAGGACTCCTAATAATATCTGGCACCTCAGGTGGATAATAAATGGCTTAGTGCAGGGGTGCTAAATGCCATATCATTGTGGGCCGACTCAGTATTATGGACCAGTTCTAGCTGTAAGACCAGATGTCCAGAACAGTCCCCATACATCAGATATCAAGAGGCCCCCCACCATCAGAAGTCGAATCCCCCCTTATATTACAGTGCACCTCCATTACCTTGTGCTGCTTCTGGGAAGAAGGTGGAGCTGGGAAGCAGAAAGTGCAGGGTCTGGAGTAGGACCAGAGGAGGGCTGGAGTCAGCTGCTGGAGTCTGTTTAATGCTGAGAGCAGAGGAGGTAGAGACGAGGGGATGCTGCGGCTTCTTCTGATTGTTGGAATGGGGGGACAGAGACGAGCCTCTCTGAGCTGCGTGTAGAGGTGCAGGATCTGACAGAGGAGTTCTTTCCTCCTCTTTGCTGCCAGCTGCTGAGACAAGGTGGGGATGGAGATGAGGGGGTGCCAAAGCTGCAGCAGAGGTACGAGAGCCACATGAAATGGTCTGGCAGACCACATTCGGCTCGTGGGCCTTGTGTTTGACACATGTGGATTAGTACCTTTACACAATGGAAGCCCATATAGTGCTTACAGTATTTTTATTGTTAAAATAAAAAAATAAAATAAGAAGCCAATCACATGTAAAAGGATAAGATACGAGCATATTCCACTTTAAATTCCTTCAGTCTATAAACACTAAGGTGGATGGCAAAGAATTAAAAATCGTCAGTGTAAGTCCTCCAGCCATCAGCTCTCTCTCTCCTCTCCCATGAAACCACGCCCCTATGCGTTTCGTCATAACAATGTCATCAGAGAGCCAGGTATAGAATACCTCTTCTCCATAACAGGGGGAAGGTGTTCTGTAGTCCACAAAGGGAACTGAGAACAGTTTATCTGACAACAGTGCAACAACATGCATATGAAGTTATAAACTGACAAATTTTATGGCAGGATCAACATGTATTTTTAGCAAAATGTGTTTTTACTTGTGAGCCACTAAGAGGTGCTTACTTATATCTCTATATATCGTGTGATGTATTAGATCGCAGGTTTCCTCGCTCACCCTCACTTGGTGTGCATCAACAAACAAATAATACAATATGGTACCGCGCTCCAATGAATCTTACAACATAAATATATACCCTTAATTCCAAGAAGATAATATATATACCATAAATCATAAAACTACATCCCCCAGAGGAAGCTACGAGTCCCTGTAGCGTAACGCGTAGGGGAGGGGCAGTGACGTCATCACGCATCCGCATAGAGGAACGGCGAGTACTACAGAGTGGGCAGACACACTTGCAAGGCTGACCCCATCGCGGTCTGAGATTATTTGTACATACAAAGCGCAATTTTATCTTCCCATATGTGAATGTAACATCAGCGCACATTAAAAACCTCTTACCTCAGATAAGACACTATGTATCTTTCCTTTTTTACATGTCCCATTCGTGGAGGATAAGATCAAGCAGCTAGCTGAGGAGGATCTTGTCAAACAGCTGTGCTGAGGAAGTAAAGGATTACGTTGCTCACACAGATCCATGGTGCAGTTCTGATTGTATACTATAGAGGAGTAATACCTTGTAGTATACTATATATTGTATCTATCGGGAGATCAACACTACACTACAGAAAGGCTTTTTTTCACATTTTAATTTTAGATCACCACCGAATCATCAAGCAAATATATAGAATGTATAAATGAATGGACTTTTATTTTATTTTTATGATTTATGGTATATATATATATTATCTTCACGGAATTAAGGGTATATATTTATGTTGTAAGATTCATTGGTACCATATTGTATTATATGTATTTTTGGCACTTTTCAAACAATTAGGGCTTCATGTACACTGGGGCTTCCAAGCTTTACATAGATATCTGTCATAATATACGTCAAGAGCACGCTTTTTTATAATTTAAATTTTTTTTTTTTTTTTTTTGTGTTTGTTTCTCCATGACAGAAAATCCTGAATCTGCAGTCGGATGAACACATATTTAAGTTCATACAAGGAAAGCTGGGCTTTAAAACCAGGTAATGACCTTGCTGGCCATTCTTTTGAGGCCTGAAAAATGCATATTTACTGCACTGACCTGCTTTGTGGCTTTGTATAACTAAAAGGCAGGCTTTTCCCACCCGCTGTATACAAGTTTTGGGCAATTTTTAGACATTTTGCCAAGGCACCCCCCAAGAAACCTGAAGGCACCCCAGGGTGCCTGGGCACCCTGGTTGAGAATGCCTGATCTAGATATGCATTTTAAGGCATGAACACAAAAGGCCGGCCATGTAGATCTGTATTGTGGTGCAGTCACCATGACAGATAAAACCTGCAGGCCATAGACAGGTCGAAAACCGGACGTTTAAAAAAAAAAAAACCGAAAAATCGGTCGTTTAATAGGCTGACGTTACCACCAATGGTAAAAAAAAATTGTCAGATTTTCATCCCATCTACGGCCGGCATTTAATTATTTCTGTCCCTTGCAAAGAGCTCCGCTATTATATTTGACATGAAAAAGTCTTGCGGTTGCAACAATGTATCCATTTTGGATACAGATGGTTTTATTTGGATACAAATAGATACATTGTTGCAACCGCAAGACTTTTTCATGTCAAATATAATAGCGGACTGGAATTCTTCTTTTCTTCCTCTTTTTCTTTTTATTCTTCTTCTTCTTTTTATACTTCTTCTTTTTTCTTCTTCTTTTTTTCTTCTTCTTTTTTTTCTTCTTCTTCTTCTCTTCCTCTTCTACTTCTTCTCCTTCTTTTTCTTCTGCTTCTTTTTCTTCTGCTTCTTCTTCTTCATCTTCTTTTCGTCTTCTTCTTTTTCTTCTTCCTCTTCTTTTTCTTCTGCTTCTTCTTCTGCTTCTTCTTCTCTTTCTTCTTCTTCTTCTTTTTCTTCTTCTTTTTATTCTGCTTCTTATTCTTCTTTTTCTTCTTCTTCTGCTACTTCTTTTTCTTATTCTTCTTTTTATTCTGCTTCTTCTTCTTTTTCTTCTGCTGCTTCTTCTTTTTCTTCTTCTTCTTCTGTTTCTTATTCTTCTTATTTTTCTTCGTCTTGCAGGTCACGGCTCATGCGCAGATTTTTTTATCAGTAAATTGATCAGCCGATTTGTTTCCAACTTTACCGATAAAAAAAATGTGTCAAAACCCCGAAAAACGGCCGACCAATTAACCCACTAACAGTGCAAAAATCGGCCAATTTTTTTTGTCTGCCGAAAAATCTGTCGATTTTCGACCCATCTATGGCCTGCATTACAGTATGAATTGTTTCTCCTTTACAGAGATTTTGATGCCAATTTATATCTGTGCGAGGAGCCCTTCCAGATGCTGCCGTCCGACACGTTTGAGAGACTCGCCGACTCATTACTCCTCCACCCCTTTGTATTTGTTCTTTCCTTCCTAATCATTGCAGCATCCGTCACCGCTTTCCAGAAACTGAGGTGAGTTGCCGTGTATCAGTAAAGCTATTGCCGGTTCTCTCTTTCAACATATTTCAACGTTTAGAGTAGATCATAACACAATCTCTAAAATCCCACATGAACTATGAAGGGCTTCTAAAGCCAAGACAATTTGTACCTTAATACATTCCCTGCATTAAGGTAAAACATGCCACAGTGGTAGTATCACCCCCACTCCTCCCTATATACAATCTCCATTCAGCGCTGTACCCATCTTCTTCTCCTCACAGGACACAGAGGCAGCAGCACGAACCATTGGCTCCTGCTGCTGTCAATCAAAACCTAGGAGCAGGGGGCGGAGCCAAGCATAGCTGTGTGTGTCTATGGCTGCAAACAGCCTAGTTTGGAAGTGAGAGAAGAGAGACAAAAGCGCCACTCTAAGTGTAGTCAGTTAAAATCAGGCAGATTTAATGGTAAAATTTCACTCACGTAGGTAGGTAACAGGTAGGTATGTCAAGTAATGGAGATCTAGTAGGAGCATCAGGTCCTTTAGCCACGCTCTGGGTGTTTTCCCACCGCTGCGGTGGTGTCCAGAGCTCGGGGGAAGGAGGTAGCAGAGGGGCGCAGGGAGGCTCACAAGGATGTCACCGCATGGATTGAGTTTCCAAGATGGTGCATGTTCAGAGCATGCTCACTCCTTCGTCAGGCTGACAAAGGAGTGAGCATGCTCCGAACATGCGCCATCTTGGAAATCCCAGTCCATGCGGTGACATCCCTGTGAGCCTCCCTGCGCCCCTCTGCTACTGATTGTACCCGTCTACACTTAGAGTGGCGCTGCTGTCTCTCTTCTCTACCTGCATTAGGAGTATCTACAAGCTCTTACAGCCGACTGCCTCCTCAGACAAGTCCATACTGCTATAATCCCCCCACTACAGATGGACTTGGACACCACCTCCACATGGACCTTCTACTAACCCCCATTGCTGATCAGGGGGCATTCTTTGATCTCTGTGACAGGTAAAATCATGAATGCACGTAACATAAATAATATATCGAAGGCCCCTTACACACAAAGGGTCTGATCAAGTCCGCTTGACAGTTTTTCAGATGGACCTGATCATCCGGTTCATTCACCTTCATGGACTGGCAGGTGTAAATGGACTTGTGTGCGTTTACACCCGCCTTCCTCCGATCCTCCACCTACGGACAGAGCCAGGCTGAGGCTGCTTTCATTACAGTGTCTATGGGGCTCTGATGGTATGTGGCATTTGAAGTTATACTTACTTTCTCTGTCCTGTATACAACAGGCCAGGACGGGCTCCTCCTCAGCCTGCACCCCCAACCTGAGGCAAAGCACTTGGGACATATTGGAACCCCCATTTTCTGAGTGTGGGCATGTAGTGTGTGTTGCGGTATCGTGCACATTACTGCAACATAACTTAGCAGAGAAATTTGTTTCAACTCATAAGTCAATACAGGACACAGTGGTGATGTTGCGGTTGGAGGATGGCCCTTTATTCTGTGTGAAAGCAGCGGTCTCTCTGCAGAGGTCCAACACACCTCCTGCTGAAGCAGAGATGGAGAGTTGTAGCTCTGGCTCAGCACGGAGTGTGTCAGACCACTGCAGAGAGACCACTGCTTCCACACAGAGAACAAAAGTCCTTCTCTGCAGTCTGCTGGCAGGGGATATGCTTTTTTGCTCATGCTGTGACCAGGGGCGGACTGACAACTCATGGGGCCCCCGGACAATAGGGGATCATGGGGCCCCTGTGTCCTTGCCCAAATTCAAAAAAGCCTATGAAAAAAGTACCAGGGGCATCTCATGGGGCCCCCTACTGACCCCGGGCCCTCGGGCAGTGCCCATGTTTCCAAATGGTCAGTCCGCCCCTGGCTTTTGAACTGTAAATGGGACACTTCTGAACGATGGAAACTGACTGCTGGAAAACGTAGGTTAAAAAATGTCTGTAAAGATGCGTTTGCATTACTTGTTTATGCGCATTTGCGTTTAGAAGCGCTTTTTAAAGATAAGCTCAGGAGAACCTCCCAAATGCCTAGAATGCACCGGAAAGTGGCAAATTATTAACTATTTCAGGCTGTTTCAGAGAAATACAGAAAGTAGAAGCAGAGACAGCAGTATGTGTTGACATTAGCTAGGTGTGAGTTGCTCATCAACATTTCTTTTGTTTCCAAGGGTGGGAAAGGTGTCTGGTGGAGGGAGTCATTAAGGCCACCTGGCAGGGGGTCTTCATGAGGAATTTGAGGTGTGAATGGTCATTAACATATCTTTTGTTTCCAAGGGTGGGAGAGGTCTGAGGTGTGAACGGTCATTAACATATCTTTTGTTTCCAAGGGTGGAGAGGTCTGAGGTGTGAATGGTCATTAACATATCTTTTGTTTCCAAGGGTGGAAGAGGTCTGAGGTGTGAACGGTCATTAACATATCTTTTGTTTCCAAGGGTGGGAGAGGTCTGAGGTGTGAATGGTCATTAACATATCTTTTGTTTCCAAGGGTGGGAGAGGTCTGAGGTGTGAATGGTCATTAACATATCTTTTGTTTCCAAGGGTGGGAGAGGTCTGAGGTGTGGGATGGTCATTAACATATATCTTTTGTTTCCAAGGGTGGGAGGGGTCTGAGGTGTGAATTGGTCATTACAATGTGTGACAAGCTTGGTAGGAACATCCTGTGTTCAGTGTTTTGTCCATCTGAGTACCTTGAAAACGCTTTGCATGCATTTTTCCTGATGAAAAAAGGCTCTGGACAGCATCGGGAACTGGAAGAGTTAAAAAAAATTCAAACGCTTATAAACGCAATTTGCCGCGTTTACAAGCATTTTGTGTTGGAAACGCTGATAAAATCGACTGCTGAACGCAAGTTTAGTGCGTTCAAAAAAACGAATTTAAACTCAACTGCCTGTAAACGCCTGTAAAGGACGATGTGTACACGGACACAGAGGAGAACATTAGGGAGAGTTCAGGGGCTGCTGCAAAAAAACGCTGAACAGCTCCTAAATGTGAGTTTATCAGCCGCAGTGTGCATGAGCCCTAAGACTTTGCGCACCTTTTGTTTTGATGCACCTGGAATGTATTTATCTGATTTGAACTAAAAAATTTAGTTAAAGAATTTTTCAGCTGTTCTAGAATTGTGTGCACAATGAAAGATTGTGACTTTGGACATCTGTCTGTTTTCCAGCATCTCCTCAGGCAGCAAACAGAAGGATTGGAGTGAACATAGAAGCTGTCTTGTCCGAGCAGACGTTGCCTATAATTTAGTACATAACGTGATGTTTGGTTGCCTGGCTATCAGCACAATGCGGTAAGTCTGACTCCTAAGCAGCCTGTAGTTAAAGCGGAGCTCCACCCAAAAGGGGAAATTCCGCTTTAAGGGCTGCTCCCCCGCTTCCCATTAAGGATTGGCACCTTTGGGGAGCCGGTACCTGAATTTGACAGGTACCCGCTCCCACTTCCGGTCCGATCACCTAGGCCAGTGGTCGGCAAGCCGCGGCTCGTGAGCCACATGCGGCTCTTTACACATTTTAATGCGGCTCTTCTGTGTGCCGGGCGCCCGCTCCCCTCCCTCCTCTCGGGCGGCCGAGGACTCTGCAGCTAGCCCAGCAATGATTGGCCAGTCTCTCTGCCACTCACATCCTGATAGCTAGTGATTGGCTGTCAGGATGTGTGTAGGCGGGGCAGCGTGACGAACGTGAGGGGAGCTAGGCTCCTCTCACAGTCCGCCCTGAAGACCGGAACGGCGCGGGGAACACGACGAGAGGAACGCGCGGAGCAAAGGTAAGTGAATTGACACAGGGGGGACTTGGCTTACTACTTGCTACTTACTTACTACTACTATATGGGGGATGAATTACTATATGGGGAGATGAATTACTATATGGGGGATGAATTACTATATGGGGGATGATTTACTATATGGGGGATGAATTACTATATGGGGGATGAATTACTATATGGGGGATGACTTACTATATGGGGATGAATTACTATGGGGGATGAATTACTATATGGGGGATGAATTACTATATGGGGGATTTACTATATGGGGGATGAATTACTATATGGGGGGAATTACTCTGGGGGATGAATTACTATATGGGGGATGAATTACTATATGGGGGATGAATTACTATGGGGTATGAATTACTATATGGGGGATGAATTATATATGGGGGATGAATTACTATATGGGGGATGAATTACTATATATGGGGATGAATTACTATAGGGGGGATGAATTACTATATGGGGGATGAATTACTATATGGGGGATGAATTACTATGGGGGATGAATTACTATGGGGGATGAATTACTATGGGGGATGAATTACTATGGGGGATGAATTACTATAGGGGGGATGAATTACTATATGGGGATGAAATTACTATATGGGGGATGAATTACTATATGGGGGATGAATTACTATAGGGGGGATGAATTACTATATGGGGGATGAATTACTATGGGGGATGAATTACTATATGGGGTATGAATTACTATATGGGGGATGAATTACTATATGGGGGATGAATTACTATATGGGGGATGAATTACTATGGGGGGTATGAATTACTATGGGGGATGAATTACTATATGGGGGGATGAATTACTATGGGGGATGAATTACTATATGGGGGATGAATTACTATGGGGGATGAATTACTATATGGGGGATGAATTACTATGGGGATGAATACTATATGGGGGATGAATTACTATATGGGGGAGGAATTACTCTGGGGGATGAATTACTATATGGGGGAGGAATTACTATGGGGGATGAATTACTATGGGGGATGAATTACTATGGGGGATGAATTACTATATGGGGGATGAATTACTATAGGGGGGATGAATTACTATAGGGGGAATGAATTACTATATGGGGGATGAATTACTATATGGGGGATGAATTACTATGGGGGATAAATTTCTATATGGGGGATGAATTACTATATGGGGGATGAATTACTATGGGGGATAAATTACTATATGGGGGATGAATTACTATAAAAAACTTATTGAAACTAAAAACAGTGTACCATCCTATGTATTTTCAGTTTTAAAAATGTGGCTCTCAAAATAAATTTCAATCGTGGTTTTGGCGAGATTTGGCTCAGTTGAAAAAAAAGGTTGCCCACCACTGACCTAGGCGATCGGAAGCAGAAGGTGTCCTCCCTCCCTGTAGTCTTTTGGGACACGTGACAGGTCCCAGGAGACTACAGGACCATTCATGAAGCGCAGCACTAGTCGCGCATGCGCAGTGGGCACCCGGCTGTGAAGCCACAAACTATCACAGCCGGTTGCCCACACTGAAGATGCCGTCCTCCTGGAATACAGGATGGCCGTTGAAAAGGGCTGCGGGGGGACACACCACGGGACCGAGGGACAGGTAAGTGGCTGTTTTTTAAAAAGTCAGCAGCTACAGTTTTTGTAGTTGCTGACGTTTATTTTTGATAGGTCGAGTGGAACTCCGCTTTAACTCAAATTTCTTTCTTCCATCATGGATTGAAGGAAAGAAAATCATTAATTTTCCCCATCAACATAGTCAGTGTTGACAGGAGAACCCTTCCCGCAGCACTATTGTATTCTGCCAGTGTGGGGGAAGGGGGAGCGGGGAGCCTTCCTGGCCAGCAGAACACTGATTACTGCTAGCAGCTAAAACCGCCGGCGGTAATCGAATGTGCAAAATCCAACAAGCTGGTTGTACCCAAGTTAATCAACGGACTAACTTGGGTACAATCAGCCTACCTATAGATAGCTCGAATCTGCTGAGCTTTAGAGCTGTGTGTGATGGCTGCACTGTATCGAAGGGTAGCAAACTAATGACTGATGAGATGAACTCCTCTCATTACAGAATGAAGTATCTCTGGACGTCCCACATGTGTGTCTTGGCTTCCTTTGGAGTTGCCAGTAAGGACATTTGGGGAATTGTGTTGCGATTGGTCAGGTTCTACACACCGCAGAGGGTTAGTATGATGACTGCTAGATTCCAGTGATAACTATATTACCTTTTGCTGCAATAGTTATTTCAGTTTTTTTTATTAATCTACATAAATATATTCCAGATGTCACTTTATACAACAACACTATAGTTGGAAAAAAAAAGCTCTACCTTATTTATCATTAAAAGCAGTCCATGAACTTCAGTCCTCTAGCCTGAGAAGGGGCCATCAGTCTGCTGCAGAAAGCATTTTCTCAGTCTCCTCTCCCTCACTGATCAAACTGTACATTGCAACCTTGTAATAAGTCACAAGGTGAGAGCTTTCTGCAGGGGCTGATCTGCGTCAGACATTTGTCAGTCACCGTGATTTATATGATTGTGTCATCTATGCGCCAGAATTCCAGTCCAGGAAGTAGAGGGTAACCCTGGATGATGCCTGAACCAATACGGTGCCATTCTGGAGAGAAAAGTAGATGAAGGGCATTGTCAGGGGGCGCTCTTTGATCTCTGTGACAGGTAACATCATGAATGCACGTAACAAAAATCCTCTCTTGCATTAAAAGAGGTATAGACTCCAGAGAGAGAGAGATGATCCCCCCCCCCCGGTACAAATCATCAGTAAGACCTCATCTGGCAGGCCAGAGTACTTGGTGTCATCCTGGACTCCAACCTATCCTTCCAGCCCCAAGTCCAATCTTTAACAAACTCGTGCAGACTCCACCTCCGCAACATCACCAAAATCCACACGTTCCTAACCCCAGAAACCACTAAACAGCTCATCCACTCCCTCATCATATCACGACTCGACTACTGCAACTCCCTCCTCACTGGCCTGCCTCGCCGCTGGCTATCCCCACTTCAGTCCATCCTGAATACGGCTGCCAGACTCATTCACCTTTCCAACCGCTCCGTCTCCGCCACCTCCCCTCCGCCAATCCCTCCACTGGCCTCCATTCAGTGTCCTCCACCCCCCTCTGCCAATCCCTCCACTGGCCTCCATTCAGTGTCCTCCACCCCCCTCTGCCAATCCCTCCACTGGCCTCCACTCAGTGTCCTCCACCCCCCTCTGCCAATCCCTCCACTGGCTTCCGATTGCCCAACGGATCAAATTCAAAATCCTAACATTGACGTACAAAGCCGTCCACCATACTGCCCCAAACTACATCACTGACCTAATATCCAAGTATCGCCCAACACGCACACTCCGCTCCTCACAAGACCTCCTTCTCTCTAGTTCCCTGGTCTCTTCCTCCCATTCCCGCCTCCAGGACTTCTCCAGGGTGTCACCCATCCTCTGGAACTCCCTGCCCCAACCCATCAGATTATCACCTACTCTCCTCTCCTTTAGGCACACTCTGAAAACCCATCTCTTCAGGGAAGCCTACCCCACCCCCTGCTAACTTGCCGACCTCCCCCACTCTTCCTACCACCCCATCCCCCACAGCTATCTCCTCCTGTGCCACCATCCCCTCCCTCCTAGATTGTAAGCTCGAAAGAGTAGGGCCCTCGATCCCCTCATGTTTTGCATTGTATTGGTATTGTTCTGTCACATGTTCTGTCCCCCTTTGTAATGTACAGCGCTGAGCCAACTATTGGCGCTTTATAAATACTGTATAATAATAATAATAATCTGGAATATGCAGTTCAGTTTTGTACACCAATTCACAAACAGAACGTTGGGGAACTGGAGAACATACAGAGAATGCTCCCAAACCATTAGAAAAAAACAAAGAAACCGTGAGCGCTCAGGGATCCGATTACAATCAGCTGCAAATGCACTAAAAAGGAACCCTAAACCTTACACATAATACAAACAGAAAACAGGGCAGCGCTGAAAAACGACAAACCGTTGAAATAAAATTAATAATTATTGATAATAATAAATTATAATTATTAGATCATTATTCTTGATATAAATATAAGTGGATGAAGCACTATGATTGGCGCAGTGAAAAGAAAGTTTGTGCAACTGTGAAAGTCTTAAAGCAAAGAGTGTTCATAAGGTGGACACACAATCAGGTCAGCATACAGTGTTGGAAATGGGTCCTGTTGCACAGATGGTGTGGCTTTATCCGTGCTGGAGATTAATAAAAATGTGCACTCACCAGATGCGCATAATCAAAGTGCAATATGTTGAATGGTATATTACAAGCAAGAATCAGCAGGAAGCCCCCTTTAAACGGACCAGACAGCGTGGGAAAAGATCCTTCCTTTGGACATGAGACTCCTCTGCAATCGCAACTCCACTGGGGTCCTTTCAAAAAAAGTTACATGCACATAATTTGGTATATTGTACTGACCTAGAGAGCCCAAACTCCAAACACAAGTCAAAACATATATTGCAGCACACCATGGATCTTTGAAACGGTATAATACATAAGGGGGATATGATCTCCATGTATAATACATAAGGGGGGATATGATCTCCATGTATAATACATAAGGGGGGATATGATCTCCATGTATAATACATAAGGGGGGATATGATCACCATGTATAATACATAAGGGGGGATATGATCTCCATGTATAAATACATAAGGGGGGATATGATCTCCATGTATAATACATAAGGGGGGATGATCACCATGTAAATAATACATAAGGGGGGATATGATCACCATGTATAATACATAAGGGGGGATATGATCACCATGCATAATACATAAGGGGGGATATGATCTCCATGTACATAATACATGTAAATACATAAGGGGGGATATGATCTCCATGTATAATACATAAGGGGATATGTGATCTCCATGTATAATACATAGGGGGGGATATGATCTCCATGTATAATACATAAGGGGGGGATATGATCTCCATGTATAATACATAAGGGGGATGTATCATGTATAGGGGGGGATATGATCATGTATAATACCATGTAATAATACATAAGGGGGATATGATCTCCATGTATAAATACATAAGGGGGGATATGATCTCCATGTATAATACATAAGGGGGGGGATACATGTATAATACATAAGGGGGGATATGATCTCCATGTATAATACATAAGGGGGGATATGATCTCCATGTATAATACATAAGGGGGGATATGATCTCCATGTATAATACATAAGGGGGGATCTCCATGATCTCCATGTATAATACATAAGGGGGGATCTCCATGTATAATACCATATGATCTCCATGTATAATACATAAGGGGGGATATGATCTCCATGTATAATACATAAGGGGGGATATGATCTCCATGTATAATACATAAGGGGGGATATGATCTCCATGTATAATACATAAGGGGGGATATGATCTCCATGTATAATACATAAGGGGGGATATGATATGACTCCATGTATAATACATAAGGGGGGATATGATCTCCATGTATAATACATAAGGGGGGATATGATCTCCATGTATAATACATAAGGGGGGATATGATCTCCATGTATAATACATAAGGGGGGATATGATCTCCATGTGTAATACATAAGGGGGATAAGATCTCCATGTGTAATACATAAGGGGGATATGATCTCCATGTATAATACATAAGGGGGGATATGATCTCCATGTATAATACATAAGGGGGGATATGATCTCCATGTATAATACATAAGGGGGGATATGATCTCCATGTATAATACATAAGGGGGGATATGATCTCCATGTATAATACATAAGGGGGGATATGATCTCCATGTATAATACATAAGGGGGGATATGATCTCCATGTATAAATACATAAGGGGGGGGATATGATCTCCATGTATAATACATAAGGGGGATATGATCTCCATGTATAATACATAAGGGGGGATATGATCTCCATGTATAATACATAAGGGGGGATATGATCTTCCATGTATAATACATAAGGGGGGATATGATCTCCATGTGTAATACATAAGGGGGGGATATGATCTCCATGTATAATACATAAGGGGGGATATGATCTCCATGTATAATACATAAGGGGGGATATGATCTCCATGTATAAATACATAAGGGGGGATATGATCTCCATGTATAAATACATCAGTGGTTCATATAGTGAACTCGGTGTAGAGTTAGTCACCCTGAGGTCATCACAGAGGACAAGGGGGCGCTCTTTATGTCTGGAGGAAAATAAATGTAATCTCCAAACACGGAAAGGTTTCTTCAGTAGGAGGAATAGTGCCCCATCATTGGTGTCAGTGGGAGGAATAGTGCCCCATCGTTGGTATCAGTGGAGGAATAGTGCCCCATCATTGGTGTCAGTGGGAGGAATAGTGCCCCATCGTTGGTGTCAGTGGGAGGAATAGTGCCCCATCATTGGTGTCAGTGGGAGGAATAGTGCCCCATCATTGGTATCAATGGCAGGAATAGTGCCCCATCATTGGTGTCAGTGGGAGGAATAGTGCCTCATCATTGGTGTCAATGGGAGGAATAGTGCCCCATCATTGGTATCAGTGGGAGGAATAGTGCCCCATCATTGCTATCAGTGGGAGGAATAGTGCCCCATCATTGGTATCAGTGGGAGGAATAGTGCCCCATCATTGGTGTCAGTGGAGGAATAGTGCTCTATTGTTGGTGTCAGTAGGAGGAATAGTGCCCCATCATTGGTGTCAGTGGAAGGAACAGTGCACCATCGTTGGTGTCAGTGGGAGGGATAGCGCCCCAGTATTGGTGTCAGTGCAGAAATGATTGCTCCATTGTTGGTGCCAGTGGAAGTAATAGTGCCCCAAGGGCCTTACAAGAGCAAACAAAGGGCCCCATTTTGCTCTAGGGCCTTTGCTTAAAAAATATATATATATATAATAATGTTTGGGGGTTCTAAGTAATGTTGTAGCCAAAGAAATGCAGATTTTTACATGTATGAAAGAAATGTCAGAATTGGCCTGGGGGTCAAGCAGCTACACTAATCGTTGGGAACCCTTGCAGCGCGGGTGCAGCCCCACTTCATGGGATAATTTTAATTGTTCCCACATTTGGGCTTTAGGTTCACACCAAAAAAAAAAAAAGAAAACTGGGCATGAGGGCATTGTCAGATCCGCTCACTAGATGTCAGTATAGAGCTACATTCTTGGTTACTTTTGCAGAAAATATATTCCAATAGAATAGTTTGCATTGATCGAGTGAAATCCTAAATAGTAACTGGAATATAACTGCCTCTCACTCTTGTACCATGGAAGCAGCTGCTTTGTGAGCTAGACCAGCGATCTCCAAACTACGGCCGAGGGGCCAGAGGCGGCCCTTTCCTTGCTTTTATCCAGCCCTTGGGGCACTGTTTCATCCGTTGACACTAACAAAGGGGCACAAATCCTCCCAATGACACCAACGATGGGGCACATTTCCCACCAATGAAGGGGCACAGTTCCTCCCAATGACACAAACAGTGGGGCCCAATGACACCAATAATGGGGCACCATTCCTCCTAATCACATAATCGATGGGGCACAGTTCCCCTCACTGACACCAAAGATGGGCCATACTCTCACTGATGCTGAGACATTTTATACTCCTGATGGTGCGGACCACCTAAAATCTGAAAAACAGTAAACTGATCACTGTGATAGCCAATCAGAGGCTATCACAGCGATCATGGAACCCGGAAGCGGGAGTCTCGGGTCCTGATCGTTAGGACGTGACCCGGGGCTCTCAGTCACACCGCGGTCTTTGTGCTGGGAGCGCTCTGTGCGGCACATTCCCAGCACAAAGACGTGTGCGCAAATATGTGACCCTCTGGAAAAATCCCCGTTCTGTGAGGCCGCATATTTGTGTTACGTCGGCGCCGAGGGGATAAGGACATTTGACCCACAGATCTGCATGCTTGTTCCAGCTCATACATTATTGGACTGAGTGGGTCCATGTACTAAGCAGACAACGTCTATCTTCAGAAGAGGGTCGCCATTGGCCGCCTGCATGTGTTTACATTAAGATCTTACAAGAAGAACAAAACTATTCCGGTTCCCTTTTTTGCAACTTATAATTTTCTGTATTTTATTTCAGGCTAATGGGATCCGATATTTGGTGTCATTGATTCTGATCGTTTCCGTAGTCTTAAAGGTGAGGATTTATTTGTAATAATTCCATGATAAAAGAGATGATGGTTCTACATGCAATCTTTGGGCTCACTTAACCTCTTGCCGTCTGCCTGCCGTTTATAAACAGCACGGCGGAGGCACTCCAGGGGCGGGTTGCCGTTCCTAAACGGCACCCTCCTTTTCTAGCTGGGAGCGCGCACCACCGCGATCCGGTGCCCGCTGTGTCCTCCGGACATATTGGAGGACAGTATATGTTATGAGAGGAGACATGGGAGAGGATGCCGTCTACGTGATCTGCTGGATATCAACAATGACCATGTGAGAATACAGTCATTTCATGTCACTTGAGTAAGCATTGTTAACCACCTTCCGTCTGACCCATTGTATATAAACGGCCGGACGGTGGCAGTGCACGGTCGGGTGGGTGTTTATAAATGGCCTCCCCGCACCCTGCTTGTGCGAGCTCCCTGGGAGTGCGCAGCACCGCGATCCGGTGCCTGCTGTGTCCTCCGGACACAGTGAAACACCGATCATCGGACGGGACCTCTGTGCGAGGTCCCGATCATGTGATCACGATTGGCGAATCAGTGATCACATGCAAAGTAGTAAGCAAGATGTCACTTGTGACATCATTGCTTACTACGTGTGAAATCTGTGAATGATCACAGAGGTCACATGGTACAAGGCTATTCACAACAGCCTTGTACCATGTGACAAGCTGTGACCAATCACAGCTCACTCAGTATTTCTCAATGGCTGCAAGAATGACAGAGAGAGAAATGATTGCTTTTACATCCTATATGGGTGTAAAAGCAATCAGTGTAAAAAAAAAAAAAAAAAAAATCTTCATCACCCCCCACAAGTAGTACAGTGTCACCATGGTGACACTGTACTGCTAGGGTGACAGTATGTAAAAAAAAAAATAAATAAATAAATAAAAAAAAATGTAAAAAAAAAATGTTTAAAAATTATAATTTTTGGTTATAAACTAATTTTGGATTTTTTTTTTTACTAAAAAAATAACGGAATAAATTTTGGCCAAGATTTAGGATGAAATATTATTTATTTGCAAAATTTTATTTAAAAAAACACTTTTTTAAAAAAATTTTGGACTTTTCATTTACATAGTAAAAAAAATAAAAATCCCAGCGGTGAATAAATACCACCAAAATAAAGCTTTATCTGTCTCAAAAAAATGGTAAAAAATTCATATGGGTACTGTATTGCATGACCGTGCAATTGCCATTCAAAGTGTGATAGCGCTGAAAGCTGAAAATTGGCCTGGACAGGAAGGGGTTAAAAGCCTCCGGACTGGAAGGGGGGGAAAGTGTCCGGACTGGAAGGGGGGAAAGTGTCCGGACTGGAAGGGGGGTGAAAGTGTCCGGGCTGGAAGGGGGGGGAAAGTGTCCGGACTGGAAGAGGGTGAAAGTGTCCGGACTGGAAGGGGGGAAAGTGTCCGGGCTGGAAGGGGGGGAAAGTGTCCGGACTGGAAGAGGGTGAAAGTGTCCGGGACTGGAAGGGGGGGAAAGTGTCCGGACTGGAACGGGGGGGAAAGTGTCCGAACAGGAAGTGGTTAAAGCGAACCTGTTTGGGAGACTGTCACTAACCCAAAACTCCTCGGATTACGAACCCCTCGGTAATGTAATTTTCGGTTTACGAATGAAAATCCATTGAAAATAATGCCCGGTTTACGATTTTTTTTTTTGCAATACCAAGCAAGTTTCCCCAGGATGCATTGCTCCTGGGAGGTTTATAGCTCCAGGCCCATGCCTTTAACCACTTCAAGTCCGGACACTTTTACCCCCTTCCTGTCCAGGCCAATTTTCAGCTATCAGCGCTGTCGCACTTTGAATGACAATTGCGCGGTCATGCAACACTGTACCCATAAGAATTTTTTTGAGACAGATAAAACTTTATTTTGGTGGTATTTATTCACCACTGGGATTTTATTTTTTGTTTGCTATATAAATGAAAAAGTCCAAAAAATGTTTTAAAAAGTGTTTTTTTTTTTTGCAAATAAATCATCTTTCTTCATAAATCTTGGCCAAAATTTATTCAATTATCTTTTTAGTAAAAACAAAATAACCCAAATTAGTTTATAACCAAAAATTATAATTTTTAAAAAATGATGCTAGGGTGATAGTATGTAAAAAAAACAAAACATAAGTAATAATATAAAAATAAAAATGTAAAAAAAAAATTTTTTTAAATTATAATTTTTGGTTATAAACTAATTTGGGTTTTTTTTTTTACTATAAAGATAACTGAATAAATTTTGGCCAAGATTTATGATGAAATATGATTTATTTGCAAAATAAAAGAAAAACCCGTTTTTTTTTTCTATATTTTTGGACTTTTTCATTTACAGTTGTGTTGAAAATAATAGCAGTCAGACATCACTAACCGGATCAATCACTGTTTTTGGTGGAAATGATATTTCTACATGGCAAATAATTTTCTAGCAGGTGTAGTAGAGTAATAAAAAATCCAACAGACCCAACAGTCATGACATGCATGCTGCTGATTCTGTGTCATTGAATCACTCATTGAAAGGGGCGTGTTCAAAATAATAGCAGTGTGGAGTTCTATTAGTGAGGTCATTCATTCTTTGAAAAAAGGGTGGCAATTATTGCCCTTATTTAAGGAAGGAAGGCAGCAAATGTTGGACATGCTGGTTACAGTGCATTTCTCTCTGAAATTCTGAGGAAAATGAGTCGTTCCAGACATTGTTCAGAGGAACAGCGTACCTTGATTAAAAAGTTGATTGGAGAGGGAAAACATATAAAGAAGTGCAGAAAATGATCGGCTGCTCAGCTAAAATGATCGCAAATGCTTTAAAATGGCAACCAAAACCTTAAAGTCGTGGAAGAAAGCGAAAAACTACCATTGGAATGGATAGAAGAATAGCCAAAATGGGGCGGACTCAGCCAACAATCAGCTCCAGGAAGATGAAAGAAGGTGTAAAGTTCCCTGTGAGGACTGTTTCAATTAGAAGACGCCTATGTGAAGCCAAGCTATCTGCAAGAAGTCCCCGCAAAGTCCCCACTGTTGGGAAAAAGACGTGTGCTGAAGAGGTTACAATCTGCCAAAGAGCACATTGACTGGCCTAAAGAGAAATGGCGCAACATTTTGTGCACTGATGAAAGTAAGATTGTTCTTTTTGGGTCTAGTGGGCGGAGACAGTTTGTCAGACGACCCCCAAACACTGAATTCAAGCCACAGTACACTGTGAAGACAGTGAAGCATGGTGGTGCAAGCATCATGATATGGGGATGTTTCTCATACTACGGTGTTGGGCCTATTTATCACATACCAGGGATCATGGATCAGTTGAATCCATCAGAATACTTGAAGAGGTCATGCTGCCTTATGCTGAAGAGGAAATGCCCTTGAAATGGGTGTTCCAACGAGACAACGACCCCAAACACACCAATAAACGTGCAACATCTTGGTTCCAGACCAACAAGATGGACGTTATGGAGTGGCCAGCCCAATCCCCGGATCTTCATCCAATAGAAAACTTGTGGGGTGACATCAAAAATGCAGTTTCTGAGGCAAAACCAAGAAATAGAGAAGAACTGTGGAATGTGGTCCAATCATCCTGGCTGGAATACCTGATCACAGGGGCCAGAAGTTGGGTGACTCCATGCAACACAGATGTACAGCAGTTCTCAGAAACAGTGCGACTACAACCAAATATTCATGAAGTCATTCAAAGGAAAGCAAAATCTTCAAACATTTCTCAGTTTATATAGTGAATGTTTGAGTTTGTAAAGAAGAATACAAACACGGCCATTTTTTTGAACCGTCTAATATTCACTTTTCTTCCATTTTTTTTTAGAGGAACAACACAAAAGCGCATAATAGAGGAACAATTATCCTGAAGCCGCCTTATGTGTTGGAACAGATCCATATATTAACATTGGAGAACTATTTATTTAAATATTTATTTTGGACACTGGTTGATGTGATATATTGTTTTTGTTTATGGGATTGGATAATTATATTGTTTAGGTCACTAATATACTTGTTTATATTCAGGTTAATTATATAGAGCATTTGTAGATTCATAATCACAAGTGTAGGATTTATAAATTTAAAAATATTTTTTGGTACACTAATTTATATATAATTTTTAGTACATCAATTATTCAGTAAGGGAGCGCTGCACTATTGTTTGAACATTTAGAGTTAATAACACTATTTATGAGTTGGTGTAGGGTGCTAGCCAACCTGTTTTTACACATATATTAATTATTTTTATTATATATTTAATTAATTTTTGGTAGTAGATAACACATTTTTGATTTTCACCATATTAGCTCACAAGTAATTTTGGCACTAATCGTAATTTACTACCAAAATAAAGTTTTATCTGTCTCAAAAAAAATGCTAAAAAAATTCATACGGGTACAGTGTTGCATGACCGCGCAATTGTCATTCAAAGTGTGATAGCGCTGAAAGCTGAAAATTGGCCTGGGCAGGAAGGGGGGTAAAGTGTCCGGACTGGAAGGGGGTGAAAGTGTCCGGACTGGAAGGGGGTGAAAGTGTCCGGACTGGAAGGGGGGGAAAAAGTGTCCAGACAGGAAGGGGGGAAAGTGTCCGGACAGGAAGGGGGTGAAAGTGTCCGGACTGGAAGGGGGTGAAAGTGTCCGGACTGGAAGGGGGGGAAAGTGTCCGGACTGGAAGGGGGGGAAAGTGTCCGGACTGGAAGGGGGGGGAAGTGTCCGGACAGGAAGGGGGGGGAAGTGTCCGGACTGGAAGGGGGGGAAAGTGTCCGGACTGAAAGGGGGGGGGGGAAGTGTCCGGACTGGAAGGGGGTGAAAGTGTCCGGACAGGAAGGGGGGGGAAGTGTCCGGACTGGAAGGGGGGGGGGAAGTGTCCGGACTGGAAGGGGGGAAAGTGTCCGGACTGGAAGGGGGGGGAAGTGTCCGGACTGGAGGGAGGGAAAGTGTCCGGACTGAAAGGGGGTGAAAGTATCCGGACTGGAAGGGGGTGAAAAGTGTCCGGACTGGAAGGGGGGGGGAAGTGTCCGGACATGAAGGGGGTGAAAGTGTCCGGACTGGAAGGGGGGGGGGGGAAGTGTCCGGACAGGAAGGGGGGGAAAGTGTCCGGACAGGAAGTGGTTAAGACTGTTCCTTTGCTTCAAATTGTGTCTTCAAGTACTGAAGAGAGCCCAGAGTCAGGTAATCAGCTAGCAGATTCAGGTGGAATCCTGCAGTAGCAGCTCCTAAGACAGGTATGCCTCCATGAAGTGCCTTTTTGCCACTTTGTTAGCCAGAGGAACCTCCTGTGCTCTCCTCTCTGATCCTAGACTGACTTGGTTACCATGGGCACAGCATCCCCCACATCTAAGCTAAGCCCTACGCCATGTGGACCCTTGTCCGGAGGGAATACCCTATTGCCACTTTGGTGAGCTCACTGGACAGGGGGATCAGAATGGTTGTGGCATAGCAGAGGAGGTGGATCAAGGTAGTTGAACCCTTAGTATCAGTGCAAAGTGAGCCATACAATTCAAAAGACCAGGGGCTGCAAAGGCCTAGTGCCTTACCTGATAATCTGTTTAGTAGATAAAAGTAAAAGCCAAATGCATGCTCACAGCGTGCCATAAGCATTGAGTGCACAACCCAAGTCTGGAACCAAGATCGGGATGGGTTTCACAAAATCCCTGAAATTTCACAGACATACAATGCTAATGCGTTTTGAGGGATGTGACCTCTTCCTCAGAGGAATTTCCCAGTCTAAGGAGAATTCTCCTCACTTAGGAGAGACTTCCTCTTAATTTAAATTCTGTCTTTGGGACAGGAAGAGAAGGGAAATTTTTCCAACAAGACACAGGCAGCAAAAAAAAGAAAAACTTTTCAAGTGTCTTAGTGGTAGTGAAGTCTCTTCTCTCATTTGTACCTAGGTAAGCCTTTAACCTTCCTAACGGTCTGATTATGTCAGTATTTCTGTGCTCAAAGCGGTACATTTTTTTGCATGGAAATATGTATTTTTTTTATTGCAGGCCTGTAATTTTACGTTTAGAAGCGTTTTTTTTTTAAAGATAAGCACAGGAGAACCTCCCAAATGCCTAGAATGCACTGAAAAGTGGTAAATTATTAACTTATATAAGTGACAGTGTATTTACAAGATCCTCCAAAAAAACAATAAATGTGAAATATAATCCTTCAATCACCTTAATCCCCAAAAATTTGCAAATAAAAATATATATAAAAATATATAAATCCACTACAAATATAAAGTCCACTAAAATTCCTTTTCAAGTCCACTAAAAAAAATCCAATCAACGATATTCACAAAGTGTCCACCTCAAAAAAAGAAAATTCATATAGTGCATTACCTTTCATAAAAATAAATATATTTAAAAAAACTTTCATATACTTCCTACAGTGGATTGGATTTTTTTTAGTGGACTTGAAAAGGAATTTTAGTGGACTTTATATTTTTAGTGGATTTATATATTTTTATATATATTTTTATTTACAAATTTTTGGAGATTAAGGTGATTGAAGGATTATATTTCACATTTATTGTTTTTTGGAGGATCTTGTAAATACACTGTCACTTATATAATTTTGTACACTTTCAGGGGAAGGTGTTGATGGTGTTGTAGGGTAATTATAGTACTAAGGAGGTGGTTAATTTAAAATTATTAACTATTTCACCTGGCAGGGGGTCTTCATGAGGAATTTGAGGTGTGAATGGTCATTAATATATCTTTTGTTTCCAAGGGTAGGAGAGGTCTGAGGTGTGAATGGTCATTAACATATCTTTTGTTTCCAAGGGTGGGAGAGGTCTGAGGTCTGAGGTGTGTCATTAACATATCTTTTGTTTCCAAGGGTGGGAGAGGTCTGAGGTGTGATGTGGTCATTAACATATCTTTTGTTTCCAAGGGTGGGAGAGGTCTGAGGTGTGAATGGTCATTAACATATATTTTGTTTCCAGGGGTGGGAGAGGTCTGAGGTGTGAATGGTCATTAACATATCTTTTGTTTCCAAGGGTGGGAGAGGTCTGAGGTGTGATGTGGTCATTAACATATCTTTTGTTTCCAAGGGTGGGAGAGGTCTGAGGTGTGAATGGTCATTAACATATATTTTTGTTTCCAGGGGTGGGAGAGGTCTGAGGTGTGAATGGTCATTACCATATCTTTTGTTTCTAAGGGTGGGAGAGGTCTGAGGTGTGAATTGGTCATTGCAATGTGTGACAAGCTTGGTGGGGGAACATCCTGTGTTCAGTGTTTTGTCCATCTGAGCACCTTGAAAACGCTTTGCATGCATTTTTCATGATGAAAAAAAGGCTCTGGACAGCATCGGGAACTGGAAGAGTTAAAAAAAAAATGTAAACCGCAAACGCTTATAAACGTGATTTGCCGCATTTAGCCGCTTTTACAAACGCTGATAAAATTTACATCTGAACGCAAGTTTGTTGCATTCAAAAAAACGACTGTAAACTCAACTGCCTGTAAATGACTGTAAATGACGATGTGTACACGGACACATAGGAAAACATTAGAGAGAGTTCAGGGGCTGCTGAATAAAACGCTGAACAGCTCCTGAACGTCAGTTTAGCAGCCGCAGTGTACATGAGCCCTAAGATAAGTTATGTAATGAAAAGTGGAAAAGTTTTATTGAAGAAATTTCTTCAGCATGTTGATGAGAGTTTGAAAGTAGGAACCAGGGAAGCCAAAATATAAGTAGATTAAACTTTAGCTCTAATTAATGTACTGGAGATCTTCTGAAATCTTGTTGTATATCATGTGTTTTAGTTCTGGCCAAGAATTCTTCAGGAGCTTTCTGAACTGCGGGAATTTTATGATCCTGACACTGTGCAGTTAATGAGCTGGATCAAGTAAGTAGCCGTCTCCTGTCTCTTAAATTACCCAAAGTGTTACGACTTCCTCCCTCCCCCTTCACCATCATATCTCCCCTCCGTGTTAACAAAGCAGACCACTCAAAAGTGATATTTCCATTTTAGACGCTAGAGCAGTGGTTCTCAACCTGTGGGTCGTGACCCCTTTGGGGGTCGAATGATCCTTTTACAGGGGTCGCCTAAGACCATCGGAAAACACATATTTCCGATGTGTAAAGAGCAGCTACTGTGTAGAAAGCAGCTGCTGTGCTGAAAGATGCAGTATTGGAGGTAAAACAACACTTCATGAATTATAATTACTGGGTAAATAATTTTAGAATTGGGGGTCACCACAACATGAGGAACTGTATTAAAGGGTCGCAGCATTAGGAAGGTTGAGAACCACTGCGCTAGAGAGTTAAATCACCGGACTTGCCTATCCGTGATTCCTAATTTGCATTTGGAATTGCTGAGATGACACCCGGCTGGAATTTGGAAATCATGCAGAGTGTCCATTTCTGGCACCCATGTGTGTTAAATTGACTCTATAGCAAGTTTATTTATTTATTTCAGGTACTTCTATAGCGCCATCAATGTACGCAGAGCTTTACATATATATATATATTGTACATTCACATCAGTCCCTAACCCTCAAGGGGCGTACAATCTAAGGTCCCTAACCCTCAAGGGGCGTACAATCTAAGGTCCCTAACCCTCAAGGGGGGCGTACAATCTAAGGTCCCTAACCCTCAAGGGGCGTACAATCTAAGGTCCCTAACCCTAACCCTCAAGGGGCGTACAATCTAAGGTCCCTAACTCACATTCATACATACACATACTAGGGACAATTTAGACAGGAGCCAATTCACCTACCAGCATGTCTTTGGAGTGTGGGAGGAAACCGGAGTACCCGAAGGAAACCCACGCAGCCACAGGGAGAACATGCAAACTCCAGGCAGGTGGTGCCATGGTTGGGATTTGAATTGGCGACCCTTGTACTGCCAGGCAGAAGTGCTAACCACTTAGCCACTGTGCTGCCCACAAGTTAAAAAAAAAGTTGTAGAAAAAGGAGTGCTCTATAAATACAAAAGGGTAATACTACTTATTCTGCATCTGACACCTCCTAGTGGGTCACCTGCCTGGCTCCTCTTATTAAGCTGTGGTTCCCTCCACCAACCCCTACGTGGAGATGCACCAGCCACTATGGTGGATAGAAGCACAGAGTACAGTAGGGAGACCAGGCAGATGACACACCCGTGAGTGTTGGATGCGGAAGATTCTTTCAAAGGAAACTGCAGTAGGTGCCAACTAAGTGCAGTATATAGGAAAAGACTTAATTAAAAATCACATATGGAAACTGTTCTGTCTCTCCAATCTAAGCATTGAAAGTAACTTACAGTTGTGATGAGATAGCGATAACTCCAATCTTAGTTGGACACCACAGTCAGTGACTCAATCAAGATAATATCTTGTAGATCTTGTGAAGTTTATTCCATTAACTGAGAGAATCTTACAACAGTGAACATCTGATAGGTCAAAAGATCATAATGTGCTCTGCTTCATGAGACATGAGGCTTGCTGAAATGCATTTCTGGGAAAAGCAGAGTTCTGTGAATGAGTGCCTACAAGTCCCAGCAGCCTTAGCAGCTGTCGGCTTGTAGTTTTCAATGAACTACCATGGAGCTGTGGAGTGCCGTGGTTGTTTATTAAAGCTTCCTGTCAGAATATTTGCTTGCCCTTACATCCCGTACACTCCATACACCCTGTACATCCCGTACACCCCGTACATCCCATACACCCCATACATCCCGTACACCCCATACATCCCGTACACTCCATACACCCTGTACATCCCGTACACCCCATACATCCCGTACACCCCATACATCCCGTACACCCCATACATCCCGTACACTCCATACACCCTGTACATCCCGTACACCCCGTACATCCCGTACACCCCGTACATCCCGTACACCCCATACATCCCGTACACCCCATACATCCCGTACACTCCATACACCCTGTACATCCCGTACACCCCATACATCCCGTACACCCCGTACATCCCGTACACCCCATACATCCCGTACACTCCATGCACCCTGTACATCCCGTACACCCCATACATCCCGTACACCCCATACATCCCGTACACTCCATACACCCTGTACATCCCGTACACCCCGTACATCCCGTACACCCCATACATCCCGTACACCCGATACACCCCGTACATCTCATACACTCCATACACCCCGTACATCCCGTACACCCCTTACATCTCGTACACCCCATACATCCCGTACACCCCATACATCCCGTACACTCTGTACATCCCGTACACCCCGTACATCTCTACACCCCGTATATCCCGTACACCCCATACATCCCGTACACCCATATACCCCGTACATCGTACACTCCATACATCCCGTGCATCCCATACATCCCGTACACCCCGTACATCCCGTACACTCCATACATCCCATACATCCCGTACACTCCATACACCCCGTACATCTCATACACCCCATACATCCTGTACACCCCTATACATCTCGTACATCCCATACACCCCATACATCCCATACACCCCTTACATGGCATACACCCAGTACATCCCATACATCCCGTACATCCCATACACCCCGTACACCCTGTACATCCCATACACCCCATACATCTCGTACAGTCCATACACCCCGTATATCCCGTACACCCTGTACATCTCGTACACTCCATACATCCCATACACCCCATATATCCCGTACATCCCATGCACCCCGTACATCCCATACACCCCATACAGCCCGTACATCTCGTACACTCCATACACGCCGTACATCTCGTACACTCCTTACACCCTGTACACTCCATATACCCCATACATCCCGTACACTCCATACGCCCCGTACACTCCATACACCCCGTACATCTCATACATCCCCCGTACATCCCATACACCCCATACATCTCGTACATCCTATACATCCCATACACCCCGTACATCCCATACACCCCATACATCTCGTACACCCCGTACATCCCATACACCCCATACATCGTACATCTCGTACATCCCGTACACCCCGTACATCCCATACATCTAGTACACCCCGTATATCTTGTACATCCCGTATGTCCCGTACATCCCTTGCATCCTGTACATCTCGTACACCCCATACATCCCTTACACCCCATACATCCCTTACACCCCTTACATCCCATACACTCTGTACACCCCATACATCCCATACATCCCATACACCCCGTACATCCCCGTACACCCATACACCCCGTACATCCCATACATCCCATACACTCCGTACATCCCATACACTCCGTACATCCCATACACCCCCTACATACTGTACATCCCGTACACCCCGTACAGCAAGCAGATATTCTGACAGGTCTGCAGGAGACCTGCATGGCATCAGCAATCTACTGATCACTGATGCAATTCTTTCCAGGCTCCTTTGGACAAGAATAATAATTGCTAATTTTTTTACCTGCATTTATTATTTTTGTTGAAAAGGTGAGGTTATCCTTTACAGTAAAGCCATATAAAGGATTCTGTATATTTCCTGCACAAGCCTGTGGCTGTCTCTGCCCAAGAACAGCCTGCATTGCCCCACAGCCACAAGATTTGAGCTTTCGTTCTCCAGCTGTCGCTTTCCCGTACGCATGTGATTTTTATTGGCTTCTACAAGGCTACACAGATAAATGATAATGGAGACTCGTCGTGTCCCCAAAACCCATCCACAAATTTTTTTTTTTTTTTTGCCTGAGACGAGGGCGACGCTATTGGCGTACTTTTCCTCGGCCCGCGAGCTCTTTGCGAAGTTGAAGAATGGCACCACATCTGCTTAATGCTAATCCACAGGCCGCTCGCCAGAGGATGAAGCGTCCTTGAAAACGTGAAAAAGCCGCTGTCGGCGATTTCTGAAATAACTATTGATGTTTTTTTATGATAAACTGCTCCGGTGACAAGATGTTTAAGACCATCATCATATTTAAAGCTGGCTAATACCTCATGCATTTTGTCCTCTGGAGAGCAGTTTATGTTGGAGTGGATGTAACCGGTATAAAACTGTAATATGTATTCTATATCATCTGCGTCCGGGAGAGAAGTGCTGAGGTGGCAGGACACAGGCGCTACGCTTTTTCCGATGTAAATCTGCACAGGAAACCTACAGATATTTGTCTTTCAAACGATCAGAGCCTGGCACGCACTGACAGATGTCTGGACAGGAGCCAGACATGTTTATAATACCCGTAAGAGATTTATGGCCCAACCCTTGGTATTGTGAGGCTTAGCGCTCTGCGCGCGACACTGACAAAGACAAATGGGTTATGTAAAAAGCATCTATAGTCTTTGGAAAGTTTTTGTTTTTAGGTATACGGTTGTGAGAAAGTTTGTGAAACTTGACGAAAAAGTCAGAATAATTAAGGCTTTAAGGGTATGTCCGGGAATTCCCCAAATATCCCTTTTCATCATGTCCCAGAATTTATTGGGTGAAGTTCAGTAGTCCAGCAGTAGAGAGGGGCTGGGGTAGATGGAGTTCAGTAGTTCAGAAGTAGAGATGGAATGGGGTAGATGGAGTTCAGTAGTCCAGCAGTAGAGTGGGACAGAGAGGGGCTGGTATAGATGGAGTTCTGTAGTCCAGTAGTAGAGTGGGACAGAGAGGGGCTGGTATAGATGGAGTTCTGTAGTCCAGTAGTAGAGTGGGACAGAGAGGGGCTGGGGTAGATGGAGTTCAGTAGTAGAGTGGGACAGAGAGGGAATGGGGTAGATGGAGTTCAGTAGTCCAGCAGTAGAGTGGGACAGAGAGGGGCTGGGGTAGATGGAGTTCAGTAGTCCAGCAGTAGAGTGGGACAGAGAGGGGCTGGTGTAGATGGAGCTTAGTAGTCCAGTAGAAGAGTGGGACAGAGAGGAGCTGGGATAGATGGAGTTCAGTAGTCCAGCAGTAGAGTGGGACAGAGAGGGGCTGGGATAGATGGAGTTCAGTAGTCCAGCTGTAGAGTGGGACAGAGAGGAGCTGGGGTAGATGCAGTTCAGTAGTAGAGTGGGACAGAGAGGGGCTGGGGTAGATGGAGTTCAGTAGTCTGGCAGTAGAGTGGGACAGAAAGGATCTGGGGTAGATGGAGTTCAGTAGTCCTGCAGTAGAGTGGGACAGAGAGGAGCTGGGGTAGATGGAGTTCAGTAGTAGAGTGGGACAGAGAGGGGCTGGGGTGAATGGAGTTCAGTAGTCCAGCAGTAGAGTGGGAGAGAAAGGATCTGGGGTAGATGGAGCTCAGTAGTCCAGCAGTAGAGTGGGAGAGAAAGGATCTGGGGTAGATGGAGCTTAGTAGTCCAGTAGTAGAGTGGGACAGAAAGGATCTGGGGTAGAATGGAGTTCAGTAGTCCAGCAGTAGAGTGGGAGAGAAAGGATCTGGGGTAGATGGAGCTCAGTAGTCCAGCAGTAGAGTGGGAGAGAAAGGATCTGGGGTAGATGGAGCTCAGTAGTCCAGCAGTAGAGTGGGAGAGAAAGGATCTGGGGTAGATGGAGCTCAGTAGTCCAGCAGTAGAGTGGGAGAGAAAGGATCTGGGGTAGATGGAGCTCAGTAGTCCAGTAGAGTGGGAGGAAAGGAGGGGTAGAAAGGATACTGGGACGAAAGGATCTGGGGTAGATGGAGCTCAGTAGTCCAGCAGTAGAGTGGGAGAGAAAGGATCTGGGGTAGATGGAGCTCAGTAGTCCAGCAGTAGAGTGGGAGAGAAAGGATCTGGGGTAGATGGAGCTCAGTAGTCCAGCAGTAGAGTGGGAGAGAAAGGATCTGGGGTAGATGAGAGCTCAGTAGTCCAGCAGTAGCAGCAGTGTGGACAGAGAGGATCTGGGGTAGATGGAGTTCAGTAGTCTGGGAGTATAGTGGGACAGAGAGGGGCGGGTGTAGATGGAGTTTTTATCAGTAGTTCAGCAGTAGAGTAGGAAGGAGAGGGGCGGGTGTAGATGGAGTTCAGTAGTTCAGCAGTAGAGTAGGAAGGAGAAAGGCTGGGGTAGATGGAGTTCATTAGTCCACTTGCACTCCGCCCTATAGCAGAAACAGTACTGCTACAGGGCAGCATGGGATGCCCAAGATCACGTATATATATGTGATTTGCATATGTGGGTAGGGGGCACGCGTGCTCCCTACCTGCGCTGGCTATTGGCTGCTGGGGATGTCAATCAACGGTCCCGGACGGCGATTTCTGGCCGGTGATTGCCGGCAGGGCTGAGAGAGGGTGTGAGAGATTTGTCTATGTGTAAACCAAACAGAATGAAGGCCTCTCTCTCCTGTCAGCATGGACATGCTGCTTTGTATCTCTCTGCAAACAGCCTGTCTCCTAGGTAAAGCAGCACACAGCACACTGTTAACCCTTTGATCACCCCAGATGTTAACCCCTTCTGCCCAGTCATTTTCAAGTCCACTTTCTCTTCAGTAAGTACAGTGTCATGCTTTTTATTAGCGCTGATCACTGTATTAGTGTCAGTGGCAGTTATCCAGTTCCTTGCCCTTCAGTGTCAGAATGATCACCATAGTCCCAGCATAAGCCGTCCATTACTAGTATAAAAAAAAAAAACTTCTCAATTTCAGTGGGGGTTGAATATTTTGGACCAACTGTACCATTTATAGACACTATAACATTCTTGCAAACCAATTAATATACACGTATTGGGATTTTTTTTATAGCAAAAATATGGAGCAGAATACATTTTGGCCTACATTTATGAAGATATTTGATGTTTTTTATTATTTTTATTGGAAATGTTTTATAGCAAAAAGTCTAAAATAGATATATAAATAAAATTAAATTTCTCTAAATAAAAGTCCAAGTTTATTTAGATAAATTTAATTTTATTTATAATTTATTTGCGCTGTGGAGTGTTTATAATTTTATTGGATTGATTTTTAGAACAGTAGCATTTCAATGTCTTAAGTTTATATATAGTTTATTTCTGTGGCGCAAGTTTATATTTATTATGTAAAAATAGATATATATATTTTTTTCAAAATTGTTGGTCTTTTATTGTTTATAAAAAATAAGAAACGTAGAGGTGATCAAATACCACCCGAAAGAAAGCTGTATTTGTGTGAAAAAATGACACACGTTTCATTTATATACATCGTTGCATGACCGCGCAATCGTCAGTTAAAGCAATGCAGCGCCATAACCCCTAAAATGGCCTGGTCAGGGCGGGGGGTAAATCCTCTGGAGGGCAAGTGGTTACACAATGAGGAGGATGAACCCCTTAGGTTCCACATTGGGTATAACAAGCATGCTTTACTGCATATACAGACTGATTGTACTGTTGTGGGTTTAGTAACACGTTCGTAGCAGAAGCATTCATGCAGATTCCAGTGTGGTGTGTGATTCTTGGCGTTGATGTATCTCTAGTAATGATCCTTTTTTGTTTCCTTTTTAAGGTCAAACACCCCCGAAAAATGCTGTATTTGCAGGCAGTATGCAGCTTCTGGCTGGGGTGAAGCTTTGCACTGGGAGAGTGCTGACCAATCACCCTCATTACGAGGACAAGACCCTCAGGGACAGGACCAAACAGGTGAGCTCACCCATGAGGGGTTGGTGGATCATTGTGCTGTGCATGTGTTCATTCTTCACATTTTAGGATTGTTAAAAGGAAAGCATAATGTATTTTTGCTGAGCACTTATTTTGAGTGCCGACGATTGTGTCACCGCCCAACCCGAAGGGGACCGCTTCCTCGGATCTAGTGAAAAACGAGGTGTCGGAGTATCCATATATCGCACCAGAAGGCTAATGGATGTAAATAGAAGGATCACCGCTCTCCCGATCAGCCCATGTCAACAGAGGATGAAAGACGGCCTCAGCCTTCATGTCTCTGCCAAAGCCCACCCTACCGACGCGTTTCGCTCCGCCCAACGGGGCTTAGTCATAGAGTCTATGACAGAGCTCCATTTGGTGGGGCAAAACACATTGGGGAGCGTGGTTTTGGTGGAACATGAAGGCTGAGGCCGTCTTTCATCTTCTGTTTACATAGGCTGATCGGGAGAGCGGTGATCCTTCTATTTACACTTATTTATTATTATGCAGGATTTATATTATTATTATACAGGATTTATATTATTATTATTATACAGGATTTATATTATTATTATTATTATACAGGATTTATATTATTATTATACAGGATTTATATTATTACTATACAGGATTTATATTATTATTATTATTATACAGGATTTATATTATTATTATTATACAGGATTTATATTATTATTATTATACAGGATTTATATTATTACTTATACAGGATTTATATTATTATTATTATACAGGATTTATATTATTATTATATACAGGATTTATATTATTATTATACAGGATTTATATTATTATTATTATACAGGATTTTATTATTATTATACAGGATTTATATTATTATTATTATTATACAGGATTTATATATTATTATTATACAGGATTTTTATTATTATACAGGATTTATATTATTATTATACAGGATTTATATATTATTATTATACAGGATTTATATTATTATTATACAGGATTTATATTATTATTATTATACAGGATTTATATATATTATTATACAGGATTTTTATTATTATACAGGATTTATATTATTATTATACAGGATTTATATATTATTATTATACAGGATTTATATTATTATTATACAGGATTTATATTATTATTATTATACAGGATTTATTATTATTATACAGGATTTATATTATTATTATTATACAGGATTTATGGCGCCAACAGTTTGCTCAGCGCTTTACAATATAACGGGAGACAATACAGCAACAATACAGTTCAATACAAGAGGGATAGGAGGGCCTGATCCTGGGAGCTTACAATCTAGGAGGGATAGGAGGGCCTGATCCTGGGAGCTTACAATCTAGGAGGGATAGGAGGGCCTGATCCTGGGAGCTTACAATCTAAGATAATTAGTATAGTATAGTGGTAATCGCAGTGTTGACTTTTTATGTAACTTTAGCATTTTTTCATCCTTGCTGTTCCATATTTTTGCTATTAAACAACATATAAAGATCGAAGTTTTTGCAGATTTGGCGTCCTTGGCATGATATAGCCCAACCGTCTAGATTTGACCAGACACTTTTGTGGAATATGAGATTTTTTTTTTTTCTCCATCACCGACCCCTGGGGCCCTTTCTTTGTCTTTTGTCTTTTTTTTCTTCATTCCTCCCTTTCTCTTCTTTGTTCTGCCTGTTCCCATGATATTTGCGCTGATTGTCACTTTTTTTTTTTTAACCCCTTGGCTCCGGTGCCTCCTGGCGCTTTAAGGGTTCCAGAAGCCGGGAGGCGGGGTGGGGTTTTAGGGTCATGTGACCGCCGTGATTCGTTGTCACAGCAGTCACATGATCGGGAAAGGTCCCTATCGAAAGAGGACCGAACATGTGTGCCAAACTGAGTACCGACCTTTTGTGCTGGGAGTGTGCTCTCAGCACATTTGTGTTTTTTTAATAGAACGCAAAAGTGCGGGCGCTCGGTGTCTAGGCCCAGATGCCAAGAGGCCGCACAATTGCGTTCGGCCGGCGCCAAGAGGTTAAGAACCATATCAGCAATACTATACCTACCTGTTGGACTTCCTTGGAAGTCCTGGGTGCGAAGTACCAATGTGCATCCAGAGAGGCTCTGTGTTCTATTTTTTGTTCCTTTCTGTATGCGGATTTTGTAATAATCTTTGATTTTTGTTTACTAATTCATTGGTTTCCAATTGTCTGCCATTTTTGCAAATTATTATGTTTTATTGTCTCTCTTCATATACTGCACTTGTGTACTCAGCTTATTTCCTTGTCTATACTTCAGTGCATTTATTGTGTTATTCATCAGAAAACTTGTACGCTTTATTTATTGTTGGTCAGTGAATTTGCTTCTGACTGTTTCTATGATGTTGTCTATTCTATAATAAAATCCTTTGTAAAAGAATAACATATAAAGATATGTGTGTTACCTGCTAGAGGGAGCTGTGTACTCACTGCAAGGGATTTTCCTGGGGTTCGGTTGAAGGTAAGCGGTAAGTCTTTAGTGGATGGGTTTCACGGTTATAAGTTTCTATTACTCTATAGAGTTGGATAAATGAAACCCGGCCAAAATAATCTTCATAGAAACCTCCCTACTAAATTTAACTATAATTGCCCATCAGTTATTTTAAAACATGTAGTTATGGGAATGTTATGAAATAACCATCCCTTCCTTCCTTCCTTCCTTCCTTCCTTCCTTCCTTTCCTTTCCTTTCCTTTCCTTCCTTCCTTCCTTCCTTCCTTCCTTCCTTCCTTCCTTCCTTTTCCTTTCTTCCTTCCTTCCTTTCTTTCTTCCCGTCCTTCCCTTCCTTCCTTTCTTCCTTCCTTCCTTCCTTCCTTTCCTTTTCTTTCTTCCTTTCCTTCCTTCCTTTCTTTTCTTTTCTTTCTTCCTTTCCTTTCCTTTCCTTCCTTTCTTCCTTCCTTCCTTTCTTTACTTTTCTTTCTTCCTTTCCTTTTCCTTCCTTCCTTCCTTCCTTCCTTCCTTCCTTCCTTCCTTCCTTCCTTCCTTCCTTCCTTCCTTTTCCTTCCTTCCTTTCCTTCCTTCCTTTCCTTCCTTCCTTTCCTTCCTTCCTTCCTTCCTTCCTTTTCTTTCTTTCCTTTCCTTTTCTTTCCCTTCTTTCCTTTACTTTTCTTTCTTCTTTCCTTTACTTTTCTTTCTTCCCTTCCTTCCTTCCTTCCTTCCTTCCTTCCTTCCTTCCTTCCTTCTTTCCTTCCTTCTTCCTTCCTTCCTTCCTTTACTTTTCCTTCCTTCCTTCCTTTACTTTTCTTTCTTCCTTCCTTTACTTTCTTTTCTTCCTTCCTTTCCTTTCTTCCTTCCTTTCTTCCCGTTCTTTCTTTCTTTCGTTCGTCCGTCCGTCCGTCCGTCCTTCCTTACTTCCTTCCTTACTTCCTTCCTTACTTCCTTCCTTACGTCCTTCCTTACGTCCTTCCTTCTGTCCGTCCTTTCTTCCCGTCCTTCCTTTCTTTCTTCCTTCCTTTCTTCCTTTCCTCCTTTCTTTCTTTCCTCCTTCCTTCCTTCTTTTCTTTCTTCCTTTCTTCATTCCTTCCTTCCACAACGATCTGCAGATGGATCGAACCTTTATAGCGTTGCCACCAAAGTGCATACACTCCCGTTTTTTTCCTCCTCTGTCCATTCCAGTTCCTAGCTGCCCATGCCACAGATTGGGTTATGCAGGGCTTTGTAGAGTTGAGGAAAACGCTCATCTGATTCAGTAAAGAACACACACAGCCATCTATTTACAGTTGTTGGACGAATGTCACACACATTTGCGCACGCTCAACGTATTTTGGCCGTAATTTCTCTAATAGATTATTTCCTGTGATCATCAGCTCCATCTAGTGGCCAAAATGAGGTATGGGGTATTTCAGAAAACTATGCCTCCTTTTTGTCACTAGATGGAGCAGATGATCTAGGAATCGATCTATTAGATACAATACAGCCAAATTTGTTGGGCATTCTCGAATCCTCCGTGGAGGAGTTACTGGGAATTGTACTTTGGACTGCTGTCAACTCTGCTCTGCACAGCCCTGCAAAACCCAATCTGTGGCATGGGCGGCTAGGAACTGGAGAGGTCAGAGGAGGAAAAAACGGGAGTGTATGCACTTTGGTGACAACTGTTTTATAAATAGATGTCTATGGAGGAACTCTGGTGTTTGGATCCCAGTTGGAACTCACCTGAGTGAGCCCACCAGGAAGCTGTCATCTGTACTGAGCCAATCATCTGTGGCCAGCATTCCCCCTCCGCACACATACAAGGAGTATGTATATGTGCAGCTGCGGGGCAGGAAATTCCTTGGCTGCTTATAATTGGCCCAGTACAAGTGACAGCTGGTGGGCTCACTCAGGTGGGTTTGGACTAGGAATCCAGCACGCCCGAGCTCATCCCTAGTCATAGGCAGCCATGCCCGCCAGAGTGGCATCTAGTGGCAAAAAGCATAGTTTTCTGAAATACCTTAAAAAAAAATATATCTCATTTTGGCCACTAGATGGAGCTGATGATCATAGGAATTAATCTATTAGAGAAATTACAGCCAAAATACGTTGAGCATGCATGGGTGTGACATTCGTCCAACAACTGTTTTATAAATAGATGCCTATGTGTGTTCTACAGTGAGCCAGATGATTGCTTTTCATCAACTCCACTCTGCGCGGCCTGGGGGGGATGTAAATGATCTGTCTGAGTCCTCACTATGACATGTAATAGGCTGCTGCTGAGTCCCATCCATGAACCCATGTCCTTGGTGGTGGTCAGATATTGCACTGTACCCAGGTCCTGCTTGGCAGTCACAGTCTGTCCTTTTTTAGGTGTATCAGGTGTATGCAAAGAGAGCCCCGGAAGATGTGCACGGCATACTGAGGTCGTTCGGCACAGACTACGTCATATTGGAGGACAGTATATGTTATGAGAGGAGACATGGGAGAGGATGCCGTCTACGAGATCTGCTGGATATCAACAATGACCATGTGAGAATACAGTCCTTTCATGTCACTTGAGTAAGCATTGTTAACCACTTCCCGTCCGACCCATGTATATAAATGGGCCGGACGGTGGCAGTTCAGGGTCAGGTGGGTGTTTATAAACGGCCTCCCCGCTCCCTGCTTGTGCGAGCTCCCTGGGAGTGTGCAGCACCGCGATCCGGTGCCTGCTGTGTCCTCCGGACACAGTGGAATACCAATTGTCGGATGGGACCTCTGTGCGAGGTCCTGATCATGTGATCACTAATTGGCCAATCAGTGATCACATGCAGAGTTGTAAGCAAGACACTTCTGACATCATTGCTTACTACGTGTGAAATCTGTGAATGATCACAGAGGTCACATGGTACAGCTATTCACAACAGCCTTGTACCATGTGACAAGCTGTGACCAATCACAGCTCACACAGTAGTTCTCAATGGCTGCAAGAATGCAGACAGAGAGAAGGAGAAATGATTGCTTTTACAGCCTGTATGGGTGTAAAAGCAATCAGTGTAAAAAAAAAAAAAAAACTTCATCACCCCCCCACAATTAGTAAAGTGTCACTGTACTGCTGGGGGTGACAGTTTGTTAAAAAAAAAACATAAATAATAATATAAATAAAAAAAATTAATGTAAAAAAAAAAAATTATATATATATGTGTGTGTATGTATAAATATATATATATATATATATTAAATATTTAGGTGTTCTGAGTAATTTTCTAGCAAAAAAAAATTATTTTTACATGTAGGAGAGATGCCAGAATTGGCCCGATAGGGAAGTGGTTAATGCCCTGCACTGTTTCCTTTTACTGCCGATCACCAAATCCTTTTTTTTCCTCTATTTAACCAGACGATGGATGGTCCTGGGGAAAACGACCCTGATTTGAGGCCTTCTCCTTTCCCCCGCTTCTGTGCTGAAATAAAGGAAGATTCTCCGGCCTACACAAAGTATTTTACCAGGGTTTTCAAGAACAGAACTTTCCATGTTTACAGATTGTCACGTAAAGCCGCTGTGAAGTAAGCGTGATCTGGCAGACCGGACAGTATTTTGTTGTTCTAGTGCATCTTCTTATTGGTCAGCGCCGACTCCCCCGCGGAGTGGAAGCGGGACTCTTCTTGCCTCCAGACGCGTTCATTTCAACTCGGCCACCATGGCTGTTTTTCATCTGTGACTTTCTAGTAGTGTTTTAATGGAAGGTAAGGTGATTTTTAGGTGGGTGGAGGACTAAGTCTGACGAGTGAGCTGTCCAGTTGCTTTTTTTTTTCTTTAGTTACAATTTAATTCTTGTTTTACAAAGATTTAGGTCAAGTGGCAACTAAACAGCATTTCCCTTAATGCTTCACTAGCTTCGGAGATCACGTTTTTCAGTAGTATCAACAGCGAGTTGCGGTATCCCCGGTCTGTTTAGCTTTCAGCTTGAGAATTGGCTTGCCTGATTTTGGGGTGGAAGTTTTGGCTGAAGACATTTTGGCACAGGGGATTTTTACCGTGTGTGTTATGTTCATATAACATGCAAAAAAAAATCTTTTTTTTTTTTTTTTGCAGGCTAAAAATAAGTTTATCACTTCCCAAAACAGGACCAGTAGCTAAAACGTTTGGGCGCCGCGTAAAATCTACATTAAAACAGAATGCAATGATTTGCAAATCTCATAAACTCTTATTTTATGCACACTAGAAAATAGAAAACATATCAAATGGTTAACCTCTTCTTGCCTGCACTATACCCAAAAGATGGCTACAGCGTGACTCTCCAGTTCTGGGAGGACGTCCATGGATGTGCTCCATAGACACACACAGCGGGACTTGCCCCCCCCCCCCCACACCTCCCCCCCTACCACCACCATACCACCACCACCACCACCACCCTCACCACCATCACACCACACCACCCCACCACCACCCTCACCACCATCACACCACACCACCCCACCCCACCACCACCACACCACCATCACACCACCACACCACACCACCACCATCACACCACACCACCCCACCACCATCCTCACCACCATCACACCACACCACCACCACACCACCCACCATCACACCACCACACCACCACCACCACACCACACCCACACCACACCACCACCACCACCATCACACCACACCACCCCACCACCACCCTCACCACCATCACACCACACTACCCCACCACCACCACACCACCATCACACCATCACCACCACCACACCACCACCACCACCACCACTACCACTTCCTCTTCATCACATTTGATTGACAGCAGCAAGAGTCAACGGCTCCTGCTGCTGTTCGAGTCCCTGTGTAAGGAGGTAGCGAGGGGAGAATAGATGCAGCCGTGCACAGCGCTGATCTCTTCTTCTTCACACAGGGAGGGGGTAGCACAGGGAAACAAAAAGCAAGCAATGCATTAGGCTCCATGTACACGGGGCATTTGGAAAACACTTCTGAACAATGGAATCTGTATGCTGGAAAATGTAGGTTAAAAAACAACAGCTTAGCCGTGTTTGCATACCACGTTTATGCACGTTTGCGTTTGGAAGCGTTTTTTTAAAGATAACCTCAGGAGACCTTCCAAAATGAACAGAATGCACTGTTCACAAAATTCACTATTTCAGACATTTTGAGAGAAACAGAGAGAGCAGAAGCAGAGAGAGAGCAGTATGAGTTGAGATGACCGGTCTTTTCTGGTTGTATTCACTATGGATCCCATCATGAGCATAATGCGGCGCGTTCTATCATATTTTCCTTCACCCGAAACCTGGAACTGACTGCTCTGGTGTACCGGGTCCATTTGAATACATGGAGAACGCTTAGCATGCATTTCTGATGATGAAAAAAGGATCTGCACAGCATGTGGATATGGAACAGTTAAAAAACGCTTCTAAACGCACACGCTTATAAACGCGGTTAGCGCGCGTTTACCAGCATTTGGCATTTGAAACGCTGATAAAACCTACTCCTGAACGCAAGTTTGGTGAGTTCAAAAAAACAAATGTAAAGTCAAGTGCCTGTATAGGACGATGTGTACATGGACACAGAGGAAAACATTAGGGAGAGTTCAGGGGCTGCTGAAACAAACGCAGAAAAGCTCCTAAACGTGAGTTTATCAGCTGCAGTGTACATGAGGCCTAAGGTAAAAAAAAGGTTTGTAGGTTTAGTATCCCTTTAAGCTGGCCATACCCTTGTAGAATTTTGTTCGTTTTTGACCACAGTGGCAAGAAATTTCAAAGGAACAGAATGGAAATTTTTCCTCGAACTGAATCTGTTTTTCGTTTAGAAGAAATAATACATAATGCAATGAGCATATTCTGGGCACAAAAGAAACATGTTTAATATTTCCATTACATTATTACATTACATTACATTGAGTTTATATAGCGCCAAAGGGTTTGCTCAGCGCTGTACAATAGAGGGGGGGACAATACATGAAACATTACAGCAACTACAAACAGCACACGAGGGGTTATAGGGCCCTACTCTTTCGAGCTTACAATCTAGGAGGGAGGGGGTAGTGGTACAGGAGGAAGTGGCTGTGGGGAATGGAGTGGTAGGAGGAATGAAGGAGAGCAGCAGTTAGGTGAGGGTGGGGTAGGCTTCCCTGAAGAGGTGGGTTTTCAGGGAGCGCCTGAAGGTGAGGAGGGAAGGTGACAGTCTGATGGATTGGGGGTAGTGAGTTCCAGAGGATGGGGGAGGACCTGGAGAAGTCTTGCAGACGTGCGTGTGAGGAGGAGACCAGGGAGCAAGATAGAAGGAGGTCCTGTGAAGAGCGAAGGGTACGGGTAGGGTGGTACTTGGGAATCAGGTTGGTGAGGTAGTTAGGGGCAGTGTTGTGAATGGCTTTGTAGGTCAGAGTGAGTAGTTTGAATTTGATGCGTTGGGCGATAGGGAGCCAGTGGAGGGAGAGGCAGAGGGGGGTGGCAGAGGTGGAGCGGGTGGTGAGGTGGATGAGTCTAGCCGCTGAGTTGAGGATGGTCTGAAGCGGGGAGAGCCTGCACTGGGGTAGGCCGGTGAGGAGGGAGTTGCAGTAGTCAAGGCGTGAGATAATCAGGGAGTGCACAAGTAGTTTAGTAGTGGTGTCTGGGGTAAGGAAGGAGCGTATTTTGGCGATATTGCGGAGGTGGAGTCTGCATGTGTTTGTAAGTGATTTGACATGAGGTTGGAAGGAGAGGTTAGAGTCCAGAATGACTCCAAGGACTTTGGCTTGCGGGGCGGGATTGATGGTGGTGATGTTAGTAGTGATGGATAGGATGGGGGGGGGGGGGCGGGGCCGGAGGGAAGACGCGAAGCTCGGTTTTGGAGAGGTTGAGTTTGAGGAAATGGAGCGACATCCAGTCAGAGATGTCGTTTAGGAGGTGAGTGATGCGGGCGGAGAAAGTGGAGGTGAGGGGTGGAGAGGTAAATTTGAGTGTCATCAGCATAGAGATGGTAGTTGAAGCCGTGGGAGTGTATGAGTTTGCCAAGGGAGGAGGTGTAGATGGAGAAGAGAAGGGGTCCAAGGACAGAGCCCTGGGGGACCCCAACAGAGAGGGGGAGTGAGGGGGAGGTGGCACCATTGTAGGTGACACTGAAGGAGCGTCGGGCTAGGTACGAGGAGAACCAGGAGAGAGCGGTGTCTCTGATTTCCATCTGAGTAGCAGGTCTGAAATTAAATTTTAAAGGCTTGCCAGTGAAATTAGTTGACTCAGTCATGGCAAGATCAAATGCTCTGTAAAACAAATGTTCAGAATTTTCGTAAGAACTTTTGTGCAAATTTTTACTGGTGTATGGCCACCTTTACTATACATTGCTCTGCACTGTGGGTCTATGTGGTGGTGGCCATCTTGGCTACGGCAGAGCTTTGCTTCCTCATGTTAGAACTACCTCCCTGATGATGAGTGAGCTAAGCAGGAGAGGTGGAGAAAGACCAGATCCACAGAAGTGATGAAGCAGGGAGATACTTGCACTGTAGTTCCTCAGGTACAGCTTCCTCTCCAGCAAGGAAAACAGTGAGCAACACAGTAGGGACATCACCAAATCTCACTCCTAACCTTGCGAGGCTAGCAGTCAAAGGCAACAGTGCCTTAGATGATCTCACACTGCAGATATATAGTTTTGAGGCTGTAGGCACAGGAAATGCATTGCTACTTTTTAGGAGGAATATAATATAAAAGATGGAATTTTCAGGGTACTATTTTAAGCACAATTTACATTTCTAGATGTTCCCTATGACATAGCAAACCTTCATTTTTTTTGCGTTTATGTCCCCGTTAACCCAACATGAAATGAATTCTGTCACGTGGATCTTTTCATGCCGGAAATGTCTGTTTTGATAATTACAATGTGCTGAAAAATTTACTCCAAAAAAATCTGTGCCAAAATCAGGAAACCTTTGGTAATCTATAGAAACTGGAACTCGTCTCTCTTTCCCAATTCCAGACTGATGAAAGTTGATGAAGAGAATTCTGTTGCAATGGGTTTCTGCACTTTGGCGCTCTGCACTCCGCCTTTTTCATCATCCCTGATCATATTTAAACACTTGAAGTTTGGAGGGTTTCAATACTGAAGCCGTTTATGATATTCTGTGCCAAATATTTTTAGATTCCTTGTCACTGTGCACCGCGAATGGTGATGTATTATTCTTAATTCTAGACCGGTATATTTCATTCATTTTATCATAAAACTGAAAATGTCTCCACCTTTGTCACTGGAGAAGGTGCATTGTCTCTTAGAAGAGGTATACATGGGCTTCAAGAGGGGGCGCTATCGAGCTCTCCACAGGTTTCCCTGAACCGCAACCAAATAGCTTAGTACACATGTTCCCTGAAACATACATTTCATTGCTATAATAATAAAATGGTCTGCAGCTATCAGTCCACGCTGGGTTTGGCAGGCCGGCCGGGGGCTAAACTGAAAATTGGCCTGGAGAGGAAGGGGGTGAAAGTGTCCGGACTGGAAGGGGGTGAAAGTGTCCGGACTGGAAGGGGTGAAAGTGTCCGGACTGGAAGGGGGTGAAAGTGTCCGGACTGGAAGGGGGGGAAAGTGTCCGGACTGGA